AGGCTCTTCAATGTAGTCCTGCCATGAGCCAACAGTCAACGGAAGCCAGTGCACAGGAAAGTTGTGGAGGATGTAAGCTTGATAGGGTTCGGGTTTGCCGTGATTTTGCCGGTTCTGTTGCAGCATTGATGCAACACCTGCAGGCCCAAAGGTGGGGGTGGGGGGTTGGGAGAGCCACCGCGAGCTCCAAGGAGCTAGCTTTCGTGAATGCCCTCATTGAAACACCCATCCCGCTTCACGCGGACGTCAGTGGGATCCCGCCTGCAGCAGCTTGGTGTTGTCCAGCTCTTCCGTCGGCGCCCTGGATGGAAGGTTACCGGGGCGAAAATGCTCGAGGGTGGTTTAGACTGCTGGCAAGGAGCTGGCTCGCTGCTGCCCGCATTCGCTGCCAGCTGGCCAAGTTCTGACCTGGTCGTTTACGGCTTAGTTCCAGTTTGGTGCGCGCAGCAGCTGTGACCGGAGAGGACACTTGCCGTGTGTTGAGTCATGCTACTTAGAGCCAAGACACCGAGAAGCTCGGGAGAAACTTGGCAGAGCCCCGTGATGATGAACGCTTCGATGAGGGTTGAAAGTGCAACAGCCTTGGGCTTGGTCAGGGTTGGCCAGCGCAGAAAGTCCAGGCTTGGAGGGATGCAGGGTGGGTTCCGGAGTGGGCGGATCACTACTGGTTCGCTATAGCCCAACGTCTACATGTGTGGAGATTGCTGCGGACAGAGCAGGGAGGACATGGCGCCGGGCCTTATCACTCAGGCTGATCTTCTTGTGCCTGCACAGCGGACACCCGAATTGGACTACTTGGAAGGCTCCTGTCTGGTTTATCTTTGAGAAGGGCGAGAGACTGCAGCAGAGGGCCGGTTCACTACATCTTCTTGTGGCAAAACCAAGGTAGCAGATCCCATGTTTAAATCGTTGAGCACCTTTAGGATCCGCTGCTAGGCAAGTGTGTTTTTCATGTAATCACTGCGCACCTCACCGCGTGTGTCACAGCTCGCGTCTCGGCCAGGAACATCGCGCTTCCCAAACCTTTCCTTAGAGTCAGCAGTTGAGAATGTCTGTGTAGTGCTGGACGGTCCTATGAGCTCAAGGACCTCTTCGTCTGCAAGTTCAGGTTTGCTGCTCTTTAGCTATACTGAAAGCTCTGGTGCATGTCTAGCACTTTCTATCCATGCTGACTTTCATGCTTCAGCATTCCCCAAGGCGAGGCGCTGGAACTCTGCATGCTCGACGCACCATTCGGCAAACTGGAGCCTAAGATGCTGCTGACAGTTGCGGGCCAAAGTGTACCCATACCCCTGATCAAGCTTGACCATTCCTTTGAACAAGACCTTGATGGTAAAGCCAGGAAAGCTTAAGTTCCTCTTGCAAGCGCAACCGGCTCCGGCTAGCTGCCGGACGTGGCCACTCTGCTGAGTCAACGCAATAGTATATCAAAACACACGCACAGAGATGTACAAACATGGAAATGGAAACTTTTCAGGCTCCACAGAACAATTTTCAGAAATACCAGCCGTACCTGGTGCCCGGATGAAATTGTAAAGCCTGAGCCAAACTCTTGGACCCCCTCATCCGCTCTTAAAGAAGATGAGCCGCGCACTACCATGTTTTCCACCCTCAGCCTGAACCAAAGTGCTTGGCAATCCAGGCCACTGCTGGATGCAATCAAGCTCATATTCGACTTGATGATAATCCTCATGAAGGATCCTTAGGCAGCGAGGGCCAGAGTTGATCGAATCTTTGGCTAGCGAATCCGAGAATGTCCAAGAATAACCCGTATCAATCATCGCTTTCCTACCGTCAGAAAACGATTTACGAGTTTCTCAGTCAGTGAATCTAGGCTCATCAACAGGCGGGCGACATCGCAAACGACTCAATGCAAACGAATGGTAGGCTTCACATGGTGTTGAATGAACTGATGAGCCTTTTCGTCAACTTCACAAGTTTTTAGGCTTCTCCTGCTTCGTCAGTTCACCTTTCTGCGAAGCAGCAATGAGTGACGAAATTTCCTCTACCATTATCATATGCATGATCAGCAATGTCAGTAACCCCTAGGAGCTCCACAGACAATAAACCGAGATCAAACTCATCCGTGAGGGCATGAACCTCAAATTCACTTCTAGGAGCGCCTGACTCGTGCGCTACAGGACCTCCCCCCACTGCCTTGCGAGGATCACTATATCCGCAGCTGCCGGGCTTTCCGTCGAGAGCGCATTCACACGAGCACACAGACCCTGGCGGGCACAACAGGCGATGTCAGCTTTCGAGCCTCTACAGGAAATTGAGAAGGTTCAATTCAAGCCTGCTGCGTCTGGGCAGAGTGGAGCACTGGCTCCCGTGTCATCCTACCGCCGCACAAGGGTTGCGCCTCGCGAATCACCGTCTTCGGCGTTCCGCGGCAGCCCATGAATTGCGCCGGCATCTTGGGCAAGGATGCAAACCGTTTCACCGCTACGTTTCTATAGGGCTCAAGCATGCACGTAAAGCGCGCTCAACCTACACCTTCGGCTATCCGTGCATATCTTGAGCTACAAATACATACTTCATGGAGCTCAGAACAGGAAGCTTCGTGGAAAAATGCTGGCAAGGGCCTCCACATAGAAGTCGTGCAAGCTCCTCACAGGACCCTCTCTCGCTCGCACCTCTACATAGTCTGGCGTCTGATGAATGTCCCACTGCACCAATCATCCCCAGATGGACAGCTGTGTGAGCGGCACATCCTTGCATGTACCACCCGAAATCATGTCTCGGGTATTCGCCGGCATCCGGGCGACAGGCATCTGGAAGATGCAGACCAGGATAGGGTCTCCTGCCCACCACCTGAAACCCTTAAAACTATCTGGGACTTTTTTAGGCCCTCCTGGAAGTTCATGGACCCCCTGAGATCCTTGCGAACCCCTGCGACCTCTTGGGACTGCAAGCCGGGCAAACAATCTCTTGCTGCCTGCTCAACTTCTTGGCAGCTCCCACCCTAGTCAAGCTTCACTTGGCAACAAGCCCACGAACATCCTACCTATGTTTCACGTGGCTACAAGCACACGACAACAAGTGGACTAGTGCAATGGCACCGAAAGCTTTGCACGGCTGACCCTGCCAGCTGCTACTGATGATCAAGGCAAAAAGGGCTTCAAGGGGTCTCTGCAGCAAGCCTACACGTCCCCAAACCTCACGTGCGCTGCGGGTTCAAGGCTTCAGCTTCTTTAGCATTTTACCTCGACCCTTACTCACTGCCAGCATCTGCCCTGCGACCATGTGGACTGGAAATCAAGTGCACCACTTGAGAGGGCGCGCGTGCGTGCGCGCAAGCGCTTACCCTACCTCTGAGACGCACCGAAGCTCCCTAAATCTCCATGTCTCATCCCGAGAGCCTGTTGGCAGGCTCAAAGCTGACAACGAAGCGATGATTCTTCAGGAAGGTGCTTTGGCCGAACGGGCAGGACCTGCGCTCTCTGTCTAATGTCTAAATTGTCCAAGTCATGTGTCGTTGGTGCCTAGCACTGCAAGTTCGGCAATGACGAAACCAAGTATCTCAAGTATCTCTGGCCAGGCTGCTCTCCTATGAAGAGCCTGTGCTGGTGTATTCCCAGTTCGACGGCGCCTTGCAGGAACATGCTTTCGTAAGTCATACCCATACCCTCATCCGATGCAGCATGAGAAGAAGCCTCTTTTCCTGCGGTATACTCCGCGCAGCCGGACTACTAGTGAGCTCCAGCGCAAGTAGACGAAAGGGATTTGCCTGCATGGTGGCATCCGCTCGTGGCGTTGCCTATGAATTCGCCACCTGCCGATAGCAGTTCACAGCAGAACCACCGCCCCCCACAGTGTGATTTCAGCTATTCGTGCACAGTGTGCACAGCAAACTGCTTGAGGAACCCTGGCTCGGTTGAGAATCCTGCCTGAGGAGAAGAATCGAATGGTTCCCGTCTGTCCGGGATACAGCTTCTGGAATGAGAGAACCTCACCGAAGAGAAATTGCCATGCCTACCTAGACTTATTAACAATGGTGTGGCACTCTCTCTGAGGTCTGGACACATTGACCGGCCGCGATGCAAATCGGTTCTCGCAAAACAACTGTCTCGCATGTGGCGTTGCCTCAGCAGTGAAAACATGCTGAAACCAAACTCAAGCGCAAGCCAGCCCTGCAATGCCCTAGAATGCCCGGAGCACTGCCCCAACAATGCCAATTGAACACATGGAGGCAATCAAGTTCAAGCAAGCTGCTCACGCGAACTACCAGACTTCGATCTTCCCAGGTGTCCTTTCAGAATTCACAAAGACGCAACAAGGACGGGACGCAGTCATGCTCGTCACTCTTGTCACACGTCTGGCACAGGCACCCCCAGCAGTCCCGAGTTAGTCGACGACAGCCTCTCTTGGCAATGCTCACAGCGCCTTCCAAAACGTTCCTCGGATCTTGCCAACTTGGAGGGGGGAAGGGGGGGGGGGGGGGGGGGTTTGCTTCAAAAACGTGGGAAGCATGTCTTCCTAGTGGCACGTCGTGCGCCAGCAGAGCCGCAACCGGCTGACTTGTGCAGACACATACAGACATGTACGGTTTGTGAATGTTGGTGTCATTGTTGCCCAGGAGCATTGGGCATCTGCTCCCGTGGGAAGTGTGTGACGATGGGGCGCCATCTTCGCGAAGCCCACATTCACAAAAGATTCTGATTTGCTCGTCAAGGCATCTGAAAAGAGTACGGGCAAAGCTTAGACCGTGAATCTTTGCTTTGGTGCTTTGGTCTCATAGGCACCTCCACGTAACACTCCAATGTTTGAAGTGCTCTTGTGTTTCGGTTGCTCGGCTTATTTGAACCCTTGAGCGTGCAGACTTAACCTGCCGAAGTCAGTCCAACACCATGCCAACGCCACCGGTGCGATGAACGGTTCATGGCTAGCTGAGCTAAGCCTCCCCCATCGCATAATTTGAGGCTGACCACACAAGCACTACAATGGCTGCTACAGTACTGCAGAGCTGCTTCATGCTGCGTGACCGTTCAGTGCCAGGCCAGAAGAAAGTGCCCCAAGTGATTTGCGGCCATGGTCTCTTCAAAACCATCCTGAAGGCAACAAGCATTGCCTCAACAATGCTTGGACAAGTGAAGCCATGCGCATCTGGTTTACTTTCTTCCCGTTGCTTGAACTGCTTGGCCTTTGGTCATTGTTTGGAGAGTACTCACCCAAATATCCGCTCAGAATTGACGTTCTCTTTTTTGGGGCTTGGCACCAGGCCTCTGTCAAAGCCCTGCTTCGCCGCATTACTCCAGCCTGGCCACGCCGTTCAATGGCTTTGTCACGTGCACGCGAAGTACGAGCTAAGACCATTCAGGACCATGATCAGAACTGGGGAGCAAGGCAAGTCGTCACAAAGACTGGCCGGCCGACATTCAGCACGAGGGTGTCCACCTGCCAGTAACTGGTGGATGGCGTGGAAAATACCAGGGTTTGGGGCAGCTTGCGGCCAACACATGTATCTCAGGGCAGTGAACGAACGCCTTCAGGATTCAGGAGTTACGAGGACTGTCGAATAGCGTAGGGTGACAAAGCCACTCACCGCCTTAGAAATGCTACGTGTTACCAAGAATTTCTTGAACATCAGCTTGATTGCTCCATGCCATATCATTGTAGCTGTTACCACATGTAGACTACCTATCCACATGTCGGCAAGGCAACAGAGTGGATTCAAACGTGGGGCGTTGCATATCTACTGCGTGGTGACCAACACTCACGAAGGTTAAGAGCCCCTTTTGTCTGCCCCGCAGCTGCTTCGCTGTTCTCTTCACCTTACGACCAGGCCATGTCGCATAAGGGAGAGGCGTTAGACATTGCAGCGCAGACGCACTGCCTCATGCTGCAACAACCGTCAGAGCCACTTGCAAGACATGAGCGGGACCCTCATAAGCATGCATAAGGAGCACTATGTAGACTCGTCAAATACCATGATAAAAATCAGACCTCACATGAGTTTGCGAAGCCATGCATCTGGGCTCATAGATGGACTCCAAGCCGAACAGTGCCTGAGACAAGGAAAATGCCGTACAGCCTGGGCAGCCTCAAGTACACCTGCCATCATGCGCATGTGACTCGGCAGAGACTCCTTGCATGCAGCATGGCCTGTATAACATTGCCGACGCCTCTGGACTGCTGGTGTCGCTTCTGCTTTCGTACTTTGTCTGCATGCGGAACGAGATGCTGAGTCCGAAATACTTTGAACATCTCTGAAAGGCTCTGCAGCAGCTGTGTGATGCTGCGTGGCTGTGTTTGCAGATTCGGGTTTTCATCTGCAAGTGAGGAGCAGCACCATGGATGTAGATTCCCAGGAAGGCCGCCTTCTTTAGAGATGCACAATGAGAACCTAATCATTCTATAGCTTCGGAACCACTTTCCTTAGAAGCTGTCAGCAGACTGGAGCTTCGTCAAAACCACGAGAGCTACAATCTCCTCTAGACTCTGCTAGAGTGCTAGAAACGCAGAAAGAATTCCGAAATGGCAAGCAGATAGCCCCTGTATCTGGACCCCAAAAGCGGCGTGTCCTGCGCCAAGCTTGAGAGAAGGCAGTCGAACACCGCGTAGTGCGAGGCGAGGAAGGCCCAGTACCAGTGATGAAGATGCAGTTTGCACCCTCACGGTGCCCACACTAGCGCCCACACTAGCACGGTGAAGCAACGGCTCATCCGAAGAAATGCGTTAGAAAAACATCCGAAATCATCCAAACCTTCCTTCGCGCGCGCGCGCTTTCGTGCTCGCTCTCTGCGGCCCGGCCACTTTGACCTCCGTTGTTTTGATGCCCTGCACCAACACCATGCGCGGCCAGGACGAGAGCGACCCAAGCCACCTAAGAGCCAAAGCAATGCCCAAAGCAATGCCCAAAGCAGATGCCCAAAGCAGATGCCCATGCAGGTCCCTCTTCCGAGCCAGCTCTAGCTGCAACTCAGGCACGTACTCCCAACCCACATCGGCTTGGAATGCTAGGGCCAGGTGCTCAAAAAGAACACCTTCGCAGAGGATGTGAAGGTGTGGGAGAATCGGAGAATCACTTCCAAGCGCTTAAGTGCCGAGCTCTCTATTGAATTCCTATGCGGGCCGTTTTGGATGGGAATCAGCTCATGCCGGTCAAGCTGTAACTGGGCTTCCCTTTGCAGACCCTGTCGAGTTGCGAATCGACTCGACGGTTACATGATGTTACATGTGCGCAGTGAGTCAGCAAGGAGGGCTGTCAGCGACTGGACTCGGAAACTCACTGTGGTGAGACGTTTATGTTTAATCTCCCCAATGCTCGTGCTCTTGGGTAAGCGCCATGGCTGGGTGCAGGGGGAAAGAGGTGTGCAAGAATCGTTGAGGAGCCCACCATCTCCTGATGCCAAGACTGGCCAAAACATGGGATCGCCTTACGGGGCGGGCTACATGCTGCAACGATCTAATTTACCAACTACACGAGAAGGACATTCACAAGCTTTTTGCTTCATGATTCATCACTAGCTGGTGAAACCGGGTCTCTACCACACGAAATCACAAGCCCCCAGTTCAACAGAGGCCACAATCCCAATATGGGATGCCTTGTGAAAGTAAACGTTCGCAACACTTTCGGAGGCATTGATTTGTACCACTCAGCGCGCAACAGAGCGCAAGCTCGCTTAGTGGCTAAGTTCAACTTCAAGCATAGACTTGTGTGTGTTCATTGCAGACATGGCTTCGTGCGGAATTCTATTTCTGCAACAATGCCTGGGAAGGGAACTCAGCTGCACCCCAAGGTGGGGAAACGTGGGGAGGCAGTGCGGTCAGCAGCAAACTGCTGCTGCTCGACCTTGAAGAACTTCAGCTGATCGCCTGCACAGCTTCTTAGAGTCCCTCTCTGTGCCCGAACCATGAAAGCTTCCAGTTGGCGCACCACCTTCACGGCTACAATCTGAACATGTCGTGTGGCACTGGCTTCTTTATCATCGCAGCGCCTGGCTGCGAAGGCTACTGTCCTAATCCTGTGAGACGCTGAGGCAAGTCCTCTGTCGTCTCAAGTGCAAAACGATGCAAAACGACAAGACTGGCGCTGCCTCAGGCAGTGCCTCTGCGATGTTCGCACATCTAGCAAAGTAGCAAAGAAAGTCCGGCTCCCGGCTACAGAAGGGCACAGCAGCTGCGATCACTGTGCCGTCCAAGTCATTCGGTTCTCCTGGGGAGCAGGACACTGCAGCGCCAACAAACTGCAACATGCTTTCATACCCAAGAACTGCACTTGAGAGCCCGCAACTCTTTGAGCCATGGAGTCATGCTGAATCCCTTGTGTCTCCTTGACTGGGCAGGCCTTCTCTGGCATCTCCGTAATGATTCCCTTCTCCATGGCAGCCAACCAATAGGTCACCTTGGATCCCGGCTCGCAAACTGGCCCGAAATCGGGAGTCACATGGACGTAGGTCTGGGTTCCCTCCTGCGGCTTGTTGATGTCAAAGTTCATGTCCTCCTTGCCTGGCTCACCATTGACACTGTAGTGCACAGCGATCATTGTAACGTCTCCAGGGTTGGTCGGCGTCACCGAGAACTTCACTCTGCTTTTGCCTGCAGCATCCTTCACCAGCTCCATCGTGTGGGGGAACTTGCCATCCACAAAGTGGCCAGATGATCCGCCGAACAGCTGCGGGAACTCTTTCATCACAGCTGCCTGAGCCTCGGCCTCCTTCATGCCCTTGTTCTCCATGAGCCACTTGACGCGGTTCTCTGCCGGAGCACCGTCGCAGATAACTCCGGATTTCCAGGCCGGTGCTGCTTGGGCAAAGGAGCTTGGGAACTCGCCCATCACGAATGCCTGGGCCTCCGTGTCCTTCATGCCCTTGTTCTCCATGAGCCACTTCGCACGGTTCTCTGCTGGGGCACCGTCGCAGATAGCTCCAGATTTCCAGGCGAGTGGGTCCTTGAGTGCCAAGAACATGGGCTCGTGCTTGTCCTCCCCTGCTCGAGCATCTCCCAGGTGAACCGAGTGCTTCTTCTCGCCTGCGATGGCAGGAATGGCAAAGACACAGATATGCTGAAAATCTTTCAAGCATCATGAACGCCATACCACTGAGATCTGCGGGTGGGCTAGGTCAAACGCATCCCTGGTTTGGTGCCCCTGACCTGGGTTCCAGAAGCTGTAGACAGGCTGCAGCAAGCCGTTCTTGTCATCTCCCAGGGGGTAGGCGTAGAAGACCGGGTGATCGCCCTTCTGCTCATTCGGCCACGGTTCTCCGAAGTGGAACGTGTGCTCCTGTTCCTTTGGATTCCAGAAGTCGTACACAGGCTCGGTGCCTGGAACCTGCTGCTGGAAGGCGTGGAACACGACGTCTTTCTTCTCTTCCTTTGGCCAAGGATCCCCGGTGTGGAAGGTGTGCTCCCCGATGTCCTTGTTCACAAACTCGAAAATGGGAGCCGCCATGTTCACAGAGAGGGGTAAGACGAGGCAACGCTAGAGCCAGCTGATGACTTGGACATGCATTAATAGTTCCTCGCACAAGGAGATTGCGGCCGCCCCTCCATGCGACGCCCTTAAAACACATCAGGGAAGAGAAGCGTCGGCACCACATTGGGAAGCCCTGAAGAGCCTCTTCCGGCAGCAACAATCAGGCGTCGCAGCGAGGCCACTTCCTGCTTTAGCCGCCTCAAGTTGGACAGGCTTCAGCGAGCCTAGCTTAAGTGACTCGCTCGAATGTCATTCCTCTGCTATCATCATCTCATAGTCAAGCCAGTTCTGCCATGCAGCTGGCCACACAGATGCCGCTTTGCGTGCAGAGTGCCAAGCACATTAATTCTCATGGCACTTCAAGCTGGACTGATGCCAAGTGACTTTGTAGTCTGCTCAGGCAGGCAGCTTCCGCTAGTCTTCCGAGGCAAGGCTCCACGGTGACCTAGCGAGCTGCACCGAAAGGGTCACTCGGAATCTGGGGCTCTGGCTCTGCGACCGGTGACTGGCAGCCTATGTCACGAACAAACAGCGACGGCTGAGGTTGCAATGGTTCTCCAACCTCAGGCTCAGACTGGGACCATCTCTACAGCAGGCCGCTGAGAGCTTCCGAGCGCACCCTGACCAAGGTGGGGTGGACCTGATCGATGCATACAGGTGCAGCCATGTCCATCCCTCGGCCACAAGAATCAGGTCCATCCACGTCAAATAGCAACGAAAGCAGTGCAGTTTTTTCAGAGGCACAGGTCCAGCAGCTGCGCATGTGGGCAATGCGTGGGGACATGCGCAGAAATGTGCCTGTGATGCAGCCTAATCCTGTGAGACGCTGAGGCAAGTCCTCTGCCGTCTCAAGTGCAAAACGATGCAAAACGACACGACTGTACGGCGCTGCCTCGGGCAGTGCCTCTGCGATGTTCGCACATCTAGCAAAGCATGAAAGTCCGGCTCCCGGCCACAGAAGGGCACAGCAGCTGCGATCACTGTGCCGTCCAAGTCATTCGGTTCTCCTGGGGAGCAGGACACTGCGGGGCCAACAAACTGCAACATGCTTTCATACCCAAGAACTGCACTTGAGAGCCCGCAACTCTTTGAGCCATGGAGTCATGCTGAATCCCTTGTGTCTCCTTGACTGGGCAGGCCTTCTCTGGCATCTCCGTAATGATTCCCTTCTCCATGGCAGCCAACCAATAGGTCACCTTGGATCCCGGCTCGCAAACTGGCCCGAAATCGGGAGTCACATGGACGTAGGTCTGGGTTCCCTCCTGCGGCTTGTTGATGTCAAAGTTCATGTCCTCCTTGCCTGGCTCACCATTGACACTGTAGTGCACAGCGATCATTGTAACGTCTCCAGGGTTGGTCGGCGTCACCGAGAACTTCACTCTGCTTTTGCCTGCAGCATCCTTCACCAGCTCCATCGTGTGGGGGAACTTGCCATCCACAAAGTGGCCAGATGATCCGCCGAACAGCTGCGGGAACTCTTTCATCACAGCTGCCTGAGCCTCGGCCTCCTTCATGCCCTTGTTCTCCATGAGCCACTTGACGCGGTTCTCTGCCGGAGCACCGTCGCAGATAACTCCGGATTTCCAGGCCGGTGCTGCTTGGGCAAACGAGCTTGGGAACTCGCCAATCACGAATGCCTGGGCCTCCGTGTCCTTCATGCCCTTGTTCTCCATGAGCCACTTCGCACGGTTCTCTGCTGGGGCACCGTCGCAGATAGCTCCAGATTTCCAGGCGAGTGGGTCCTTGAGTGCCAAGAACATGGGCTCGTGCTTGTCCTCCCCTGCTCGAGCATCTCCCAGGTGAACCGAGTGCTTCTTCTCGCCTGCGATAGCAGGAATGGCAAAGACACAGATATGCTGAAAATCTTTCAAGCATCATGAACGCCATACCACTACTGAGATCTGCGGGTGGGCTAGGTCAAACGCATCCCTAGCTACCACTTGGTTTGGTGTCCCTCACCTGTGTTCCAGAAGCTGTAGACAGGCTGCAGCAAGCCGTTCTTGTCATCTCCAAGGGGGTAGGCGTAGAAGACCGGGTGCTCGCCCTTCTGCTCATTTGGCCACGGTTCTCCAAAGTGGAACGTGTGCTCCTTGTCCTTGTCATTCCAGAAGTCGTACACAGGCTCAGTGCCTGGAACCTGCTGCTGGAAGGCGTGGAACACGACGTCTTTCTTCTCTTCCTTTGGCCAAGGATCCCCAGTGTGGAAGGTGTGCTCCCCGATGTCCTTGTTCACAAACTCGAAAATGGGAGCCGCCATGTTCACAAAGAGGATAATTAAGACGAGGCACGGGGAAAGCACGAAGCCTTTAATTTCTGCTAGAGCCAGCTGATGATGACATGGACATGCAGTGGAAATGGCTCCTTCTGCACCCCTGCCATGTGACCCAGTGGAAGGACTAAGGGCAAACATGTGCCTGTGATGCAGCGTGTCCTGCACGGTCGGCTGATTTCATCCCACATTGTGTGAGCACGTACTGCCTTCAGCGCCTGGCTGCGAAGGCTACTGTCCTAATCCTGTGAGACGCTGAGGCAAGTCCTCTGTCGTCTCAAGTGCAAAACGATGCAAAACGACAAGACTGGCGCTGCCTCAGGCAGTGCCTCTGCGATGTTCGCACATCTAGCAAAGTAGCAAAGAAAGTCCGGCTCCCGGCTACAGAAGGGCACAGCAGCTGCGATCACTGTGCCGTCCAAGTCATTCGGTTCTCCTGGGGAGCAGGACACTGCAGCGCCAACAAACTGCAACATGCTTTCATACCCAAGAACTGCACTTGAGAGCCCGCAACTCTTTGAGCCATGGAGTCATGCTGAATCCCTTGTGTCTCCTTGACTGGGCAGGCCTTCTCTGGCATCTCCGTAATGATTCCCTTCTCCATGGCAGCCAACCAATAGGTCACCTTGGATCCAGGCTCGCAAACTGGCCCGAAATCGGGAGTCACATGGACGTAGGTCTGGGTTCCCTCCTGCGGCTTGTTGATGTCAAAGTTCATGTCCTCCTTGCCTGGCTCACCATTGACACTGTAGTGCACAGCGATCATTGTAACGTCTCCAGGGTTGGTCGGCGTCACCGAGAACTTCACTCTGCTTTTGCCTGCAGCATCCTTCACCAGCTCCATCGTGTGGGGGAACTTGCCATCCACAAAGTGGCCAGATGATCCGCCGAACAGCTGCGGGAACTCTTTCATCACAGCTGCCTGAGCCTCGGCCTCCTTCATGCCCTTGTTCTCCATGAGCCACTTGACGCGGTTCTCTGCCGGAGCACCGTCGCAGATAACTCCGGATTTCCAGGCCGGTGCTGCTTGGGCAAAGGAGCTTGGGAACTCGCCCATCACGAATGCCTGGGCCTCCGTGTCCTTCATGCCCTTGTTCTCCATGAGCCACTTCGCACGGTTCTCTGCTGGGGCACCGTCGCAGATAGCTCCAGATTTCCAGGCGAGTGGGTCCTTGAGTGCCAAGAACATGGGCTCGTGCTTGTCCTCCCCTGCTCGAGCATCTCCCAGGTGAACCGAGTGCTTCTTCTCGCCTGCGATGGCAGGAATGGCAAAGACACAGATATGCTGAAAATCTTTCAAGCATCATGAACGCCATACCACTACTGAGATCTGCGGGTGGGCTAGGTCAAACGCATCCCTAGTTACCACTTGGTTTGGTGTCCCTCACCTGTGTTCCAGAAGCTGTAGACAGGCTGCAGCAAGCCGTTCTTGTCATCTCCAAGGGGGTAGGCGTAGAAGACCGGGTGCTCGCCCTTCTGCTCATTTGGCCACGGTTCTCCGAAGTGGAACGTGTGCTCCTTGTCCTTGTCATTCCAGAAGTCGTACACAGGCTCAGTGCCTGGAACCTGCTGCTGGAAGGCGTGGAACACGACGTCTTTCTTCTCTTCCTTTGGCCAAGGATCCCCAGTGTGGAAGGTGTGCTCCCCGATGTCCTTGTTCACAAACTCGAAAATGGGAGCCGCCATGTTCACAAAGAGGATAATTAAGACGAGGCAAGGGGAAAGCACGAAGCCTTTAATTTCTGCTAGAGCCAGCTGATGATGACATGGACATGCAGTGGAAATGGCTCCTTCTGCACCCCTGCCATGCGACCCAGTGGAAGGACTAAGGGCAAACATGTGCCTGTGATGCAGCGTGTCCTGCACGGTCGGCTGATTTCATCCCACATTGTGTGAGCACGTACTGCCTTCAGCGCCTGGCTGCGAAGGCTACTGTCCTAATCCTGTGAGACGCTGAGGCAAGTCCTCTGTCGTCTCAAGTGCAAAACGATGCAAAACGACAAGACTGGCGCTGCCTCAGGCAGTGCCTCTGCGATGTTCGCACATCTAGCAAAGTAGCAAAGAAAGTCCGGCTCCCGGCTACAGAAGGGCACAGCAGCTGCGATCACTGTGCCGTCCAAGTCATTCGGTTCTCCTGGGGAGCAGGACACTGCAGCGCCAACAAACTGCAACATGCTTTCATACCCAAGAACTGCACTTGAGAGCCCGCAACTCTTTGAGCCATGGAGTCATGCTGAATCCCTTGTGTCTCCTTGACTGGGCAGGCCTTCTCTGGCATCTCCGTAATGATTCCCTTCTCCATGGCAGCCAACCAATAGGTCACCTTGGATCCAGGCTCGCAAACTGGCCCGAAATCGGGAGTCACATGGACGTAGGTCTGGGTTCCCTCCTGCGGCTTGTTGATGTCAAAGTTCATGTCCTCCTTGCCTGGCTCACCATTGACACTGTAGTGCACAGCGATCATTGTAACGTCTCCAGGGTTGGTCGGCGTCACCGAGAACTTCACTCTGCTTTTGCCTGCAGCATCCTTCACCAGCTCCATCGTGTGGGGGAACTTGCCATCCACAAAGTGGCCAGATGATCCGCCGAACAGCTGCGGGAACTCTTTCATCACAGCTGCCTGAGCCTCGGCCTCCTTCATGCCCTTGTTCTCCATGAGCCACTTGACGCGGTTCTCTGCCGGAGCACCGTCGCAGATAACTCCGGATTTCCAGGCCGGTGCTGCTTGGGCAAAGGAGCTTGGGAACTCGCCCATCACGAATGCCTGGGCCTCCGTGTCCTTCATGCCCTTGTTCTCCATGAGCCACTTCGCACGGTTCTCTGCTGGGGCACCGTCGCAGATAGCTCCAGATTTCCAGGCGAGTGGGTCCTTGAGTGCCAAGAACATGGGCTCGTGCTTGTCCTCCCCTGCTCGAGCATCTCCCAGGTGAACCGAGTGCTTCTTCTCGCCTGCGATGGCAGGAATGGCAAAGACACAGATATGCTGAAAATCTTTCAAGCATCATGAACGCCATACCACTACTGAGATCTGCGGGTGGGCTAGGTCAAACGCATCCCTAGTTACCACTTGGTTTGGTGTCCCTCACCTGTGTTCCAGAAGCTGTAGACAGGCTGCAGCAAGCCGTTCTTGTCATCTCCAAGGGGGTAGGCGTAGAAGACCGGGTGCTCGCCCTTCTGCTCATTTGGCCACGGTTCTCCAAAGTGGAACGTGTGCTCCTTGTCCTTGTCATTCCAGAAGTCGTACACAGGCTCGGTGCCTGGAACCTGCTGCTGGAAGGCGTGGAACACGACGTCTTTCTTCTCTTCCTTTGGCCAAGGATCCCCAGTGTGGAAGGTGTGCTCCCCGATGTCCTTGTTCACAAACTCGAAAATGGGAGCCGCCATGTTCACAAAGAGGATAATTAAGACGAGGCACGGGGAAAGCACGAAGCCTTTAATTTCTGCTAGAGCCAGCTGATGATGACATGGACATGCAGTGGAAAGGGCTCCCTGTGCACCCCTGCCATGCGACCCAGTGGAATGACTACGGGCAAACATGTGCCTGTGATGCAGCGTGTCCTGCACGGTCGGCTGATTCATCTCGCCCAACGGCACACGTAGTGCCTGCAGTGCCCCGTGCTCCGGATGAAAAGATCTCAGGAGAGGCATTCGCATTGCCCCGAATTGAGATACTGGACGCATTGGACAGATAAAGACCAGCGCGGAGTCTGAGATCAGGGCGTGCTAAGGTCTTTCACGACTCGAGTTTAAGCGAAAGGCCGTGGCCGTAGTCTTGGCCTTGGTTTCCATGAATGTGGAAACATAACGGACACAACGGACCCTCTCTGCCTTCCCTGCCTGCTTAAGGCTTCATAGCACGTGACCGTTATGTTTTGGGTTTGGGGCTGTGACAAGCCTCACATCTTTTAGCATGAAGGTCTTCCAAAGCCACTTTCTTAACAAGGTGTGTATTGAGCACAGCCCGCATGACCAGTGCCAGCATGACGCAGTCGACAGCAAACGCAACTGAGTGCTCAGTCAACGGTCGCATCTTTAAATCATGCCGGATACGCGTTAGCCCATTAGTCCAGCGACTGGGGCGCATGGATGCTCTTCCAGCCGAGGAGACCATCCAGGGATGACATGATGGCCTGGGCTTGGCTGGTTTTTACGGAACCTCCGCAAACTCTGTAAATCGAAAGAGGCACTGGAAAGCTGAACATGGCTGAGGCGCCTGGCAGAGTCTGTGGGCAGTCCGAGGATCACCGCCCTAAAGAAGCGCCAATCGGACGAAGCGAGGCAAAGCCCTTGAGCAGAAAGAGGATCAGGGCATCAGCGCATGAAGCGCTCAACGAGGGCTCAGGGCGTGTTCTGCGCGTGCGGCAACTTGTCACAACTCCAACAGAAAAGTGTTAGGACATTGGTGACAAAAGTGCAACACAGGAAGGATTCGTAAAAATTCGTGGGTCCGTAAAAACTAATGCATTTGTGTAAAAACATCCATCCCCGCCTAGGATCACCACCAGTGCCACGACGCAAATGCCGAGGCCTTGCCTCGGTAGCAGGGAGAGATGATCCCTCTACGTACCTGCTCTTCTGTTTCCAGTTCTCTCCTGCTCCTTCATTGTCATTCTGCAGTTCTCCTTCTCTCCACCTTCATTCTCCTTCTCTCCCATCTTCTCCCATCTTCTCCCATCTTCTCCCATCTTCTCCCATCTTCTCCCATCTTCTCCCATCTTCCCCTCCCCTGGGTTCATCCTATTTCTCCCCCCCCCCCCCCCCCTTTCCGCCAGAAGCTGAGCCCAGCTGCGGATTGCGGAAAACGTCAACAGAGATGTGCCTTAAGGCACGACTTCGCATCTGCATACCAGCAATCCAGAACTCATCGCACACATACTGTCTGTCTAGATCTTGTCACCACAAACCACCATGGGGCAGTAGGCATGTCTGATTGTGTGTGTGTGTCAGTACATTTGCTGTACTGCACTTGTACTTGTTGAGGGAACCTATATTGACATGCAAGTGCATGTTGAATACATCCATTTGTTCATTTACTCGATCATATTATGTCGATATATATGTACATATGCACAACATATTCATATGTATATGGTATGAGCAAAGCTGGAAGCTACGTGCAGATCTGCGGCAGGTTCACATGCCGCACCTGGCCCGCAAGGATGCCCCGCAAAGAAACACAAAGAACAAACAATGGCAGCCCTGACAAGCCCAGTAGAGCCGTTGCAGCATGTTGCAGCCAGGACACCATTTCAAAGAGAACCTCTGCTCTTCTTGCCGCAAGGCCAGCGATTAATTAGCAGATGCCATCCCATCCGGTACTATGCGCGAATACCACAGGCCGGGACACTGCGTAGAAAAAGGTGAAGTAGGCTACAAGCAGGAGGAAGTCCAAGCGGAGCGAATCACACCTTCCTCGCATGGGCACCGCGGGGGCTACTGCCCTGTGGGTTGAATCGCGTCCTGAGAAAACACAAGGAAACACTCGGCACCACTGGGAACCACTGGGAAACGCAACCCTGAAGGCCGAAGAGTTGCCATTTTTGTATATTTTTTCAGCATGCCGATGTGCGTTCCAGAGCTTTCCGGGGGCCTCCGGCTGGATGCGGCCAAACACGACCTTGAACGCGGCCCAAGAAACAAAGGCCGACCTCCAGTTCACTGATTCACGTCTCGCGTATGAGCCAAACGGGCACAGCAACCTTGGATCGCAACCCACGATCAAAATCAAAGATTGGCTCAAAGTCTGACACAAATCAGACCCTTCCCACTTAGAAATGTTAAGCTCTGTCGAGTTACGTTCAGGTATGCCATCCGCAGCAAGTCATCCTCAGCTTTGGCCCATCCAAGCAATGCATGTCTTGCTGTCTGGTTGGTGTGATGCTTAGGAACAGCGCATGCGCTGCCATCAAAGAAGAATCCGAGCACAAGCTGTCTGCAGCGCACTTGGAGTCAGACCTTGTGTTGCCAAAGTGGCTTCATCTTCAACTTCCAGTGTAGCTTTGACACCGCCTGTCGCAGCAGCACGTTGCAAAATGTGCTAAAAGAAGCCAAAAAAAGGACGTCTCGATTTGCCAAGGCCTGGGCCTAGGGTTCTTTTGGCTTACGCCTGCAAGCTTGCCTGAAGTCCTGGCCCTCGTCTCAACAACCAACAAACCGCTGCGACACGCGCTGACATGAGGCATGGCGGATGTGGAAAATCCCGCCACGCGCAAGAGGACGTAAAGCAACGCCAGCCTGAGCAAGACCCAAGGCTGCCAGGACACTCGGGGCTGTGCCGCTGCAAAAAAAAAAAACAAGGCAGAGCATCCAGGCAACCATGGGAAAGGCAATCAAGGCCAGCTCCTCGCTTACATGCCTCGACGTGCGACATCCACCTGCTAATCCAGCATACAGTAGCACCTTGCTGAGGCCAGTATCCCAGTCCTCAGATATCCTGAAACCTCGCAACATTTGTAAAGAACGATCGGGAAAAGAAACACAAAGCTAGGCTCATGGCCAGCTCACAAAGACGACGGCACCCAGGCTGGGGCTGCACAGTGGACGCCAGGGAAGCAGCAAGGCATCTGAGCGAGCTTTTTGAAAAGCAGGCAGGAACATCGGGAACTCCCCTTTGCAGCTGCGCTTCAAGCTGATCGTCTTTCTATGTGACAGTTGCCCGCTCGAAGCCTGCGGAGTCCGGCGGCTGCCGTTCCCGCCGTGGAGATAGCAGTAGGTACAGGAATGGCAGCCTGGATGAGATGACGATGCGACATCATGCGACATCCACACATATCCAGATATCAATCGGCAGCGGACACTGCGGTGATGTTTTGCAGATGCATTGCACGGTACTGCAGCAGGAGGACAGGTACAGGCCATACGCGCAGGCAAACACCGCAAATGGTGTGTTCGCGAGTATCGCCATGGCTGGGCTGTCGAATTGCTTCTCCAATGTCAGAAATTACACATGCTCTGCTGTTCCTTTTGCTCAGCTTGCTCCAGCAGTGCTGCTGCCCCCGTGTCTTCTGCCATCTTTGAAACTGCTTGGAGCGCAGGGAATGAGGCACACCAGACTCAAAGGGTGATCCCAGAAGTTTCGAGTGACACATGCAACCGCTGGGTCTCTGCCTGGATCTGCATGTGCCGAAGCAGCTCCACGGCCCTTGCACAAGGATCCAAGGGACGTCTGCCTAGATAACAAGAGCAACCTTTAGACATTTGGCTTCGGACATCCTGCCTCCGAACGGACTTCAGAGATGCCAAGTCCAACGGCCTCAAGCGCTTGACTTTTCTGGAGACAGGCAGATGACAGCAGATGGCAGCAGATCGCAGCAGATAGTCGTTGTGCCTTCTGGAAGCCCTTGCTAGTCGGCCCTTGGGCTCTTAGGCGAGCTGATTTCCGGAAGCGAAAGTTAAGGAAGCGGTCTCCCGAGCATGGATCAGTGACCGGATTTCCGGTCGGCTCTGCTGCGTCCTGTGAGGTGGATCAGAAAACAACACCCGTTCATCACCGGCAACATCATGGAGGGACTGAAAAAGTCTGAAGGACTTGGGGCCTAAGCTAAAGAAACTAAAAACGCCGGGATCCAGTCAAGGGCGCCACCCACTCCTGCCATTAGCTGAAGCTGTTCTCTAGGCAGCTCTTCGAGCTGCTCTTCGAAACAGCTCAATTTGCTCAATGTAATTATGCACAAAGGCGTAAATCCGCCAAGGTCACAATTGACTTTCGGTACTTGCATGTTACGGGCAGCAAAGACTATCAAAGGACCGGAGAACCCCCTAGCAATTTCTTTATTGGGGCTGCCCGGTGTCGGCCGGTGTGTTTCGGCTCGGATGAAAGGCAAAGCGCACTGCAGAAGAAGCTGCTCAGAAAACCTCTTCTTCCTGGCAGCGGAGCAGTTCAGGAATAGGACTGGCGTCACGGAAGCGGTGCCTGCAGGCCCTTCTTGTAGGCAACGTCATTTTGGCAGCTGAATGCACGCAAGCGCTTCTGGCCTGAGCGTCTCGCTCGGTGCATCTGCCTCTCTTAGCTCAAACTGCACGCAGCACTCTTCTTCTTCTTCTACGGGGCATGAGCGGCCTAACGACCCCCTGCGCGGGCACAGGCGCGCCCTGTCCACACGATCAGTTCAATATGTGAAACCCACTGCTCCCGCACTCACAGCGCGAAGGCAGCGATCTCTCTTCTTCTTCTTCTTCTTCTTCTTCTTCTTCTTCTTCTTCTTCTTCTTCTTCTTCTTCTTCTTCTTCTGCTTCTGATTCTGCAGGGCTTGGGGGAAACCCCCGCGCACCAGGCGCGCCCGGAGGTGAGTCAGGTCTTGGTGAAATATTGACGGCGGGCTCCTGTGGTTGGGATCTCTCTCTCTCTCTCTTTCTTTCGTAGTTCTCTCTTTCTTGCTTTCTTTGGGGCATGGAGCAGGGCTTTCTCTCTCTCTCTCTCTCTCTCTCTCTCTCTCTCTGGCTTGAGAACCAACCCAAACATCTTCAACAGCCACGCGAAGCGCACATTTCAAACCAGAAAAGGCAGAACTCCGAAATCTCCACACTTCAACTGCTGAAAAGTTCTTCCGCTTCAAGAGCCCATCCAAGAAGCTGGAGGCCAGACCGCCTTTCAGGCCCTCTTTCAAAAGTTGGGCATTCTGTCCGAGCGAAGCATGCACCTTCTGCCTGCAGCGCGCGGCCCATACATCATATACACAGTGACTGTCCGACTGTACGTTCCTTTTACCAACACAGTCGCTGTGTCTTCATGTGCCACCCAGGGGCATGTGCTCATCCACTTGCTGCTGCAGCGTCTCGGTCAAGGTCTCCGTTTTGAGGGCTACGTCCTTCTGCAAAGCCTCCCAACCTCCACGGGGCGGAGACTGGCGTGGTATGCGACTTTGATGTCCACAGCTCTGTGCATTGGAACTCAATGAATAAGACTTTCCCTGTGACATGGCTGTTCTGCACTGTGAAGGGCACTCATCCCACGAGCCATTCAGCCCGTCTCCATCCGTTTCCCACTACTCTTCACAGGATGGGCATAACATGGTTGAACCTTAAGAGCACTTACGAGTAACAACGAGCACTGCCAGTTCTGGGACCTTCCTGCAGCGGCTCGAGACTCTCCTGGCCCATGGACAGCAGACCTCATGGGAAAAAGCTTCCAAAGAGACGTGCACCTCTGAGAACAGAAGCCCAGCGCCTCGTGTGAGGTCACCAAACTTGTAGCCGGTACTTGGATCTGCTCCGCGTGCCTCTGAAGGCAACAATATGGTAAACACCTTTCCGATACGTCGACCGAAACATATGGAGGTTTAACGGCTTCGGGCTGTTTGGGATGGAAACACGGGGATTCCCGCAACCCGACCCAGTTCAGAAAAAGAAACATGCACAGAAAAATCCTGCCTGCAAGCCACGGGCCAGGACGCCGTCGGCTTGCGCCAAGCCTGCCTGCAAACAGTGCTCCAGGGTCCGATTTGGGGGAACATAAGGTTAAGGAGCCATACAATAACAATATCCAGCCTGAGCACAAAAAGGCAAAAGTAAACCCTGCACTCTCTTGCGGCTTCACCTTCTGACATAATTGCCACTTTTTGTGTATCGAGAGTAATTGGTGCACATTGTCTCTGACTTCCCGAACGCAAGGAAACTGTTGACAGTAAGCGAATAGCCGAGCGGTTGTGCTCAAAGAGATGAACCTTGGCGGCAAATCGAGAAAAAGCCACGGCATTTTTCAGATTTTTCTTACGGTTGGGAGTAGAGCTTCTCCCTTTGAGGTGTTCCTTCTCTTCCCACACCTGGAGAGTGTCGGTGCTGTGTTTCACCAGCTCGGCGATGTTCCGGTCCGCCATGACATCCGCGAAACCACCAGCCATGGAGGATATGACCTATAGTGCTCCTAGTGCTCCGGCCCAGGCTAAAATAAAAGTCGGTCCACAGCCTTCACCCTGAATGCCAAGGAGCGGAATCCAAAGGCAGCTGGAAGAGACGTACAGCGAAATCTGCATTGGTGTTCCTTGAGGCTGCGCTGTGCGCACGGGGCACCCATGTTCGAAAGATCGCACAAGCACAGAGCGAAGCGGACCTGCGGACGCAACCTGCCGGCCGGCATGAGCTAGAATCTAGCGAACACTCACCAGTTTTGCCTTTTCGGGGCTTCTGCCAAGCATCTCCAATAGGCGGAGAACACCATCTGCCTGTTGGCAGGCTGTTCCGGAAAGACCGGCAGCTTTTTGTCCAAAAAAGACCAGGCTTACGTTGTCCTACGTTCAGTTTGTTGGCGGGCAGTGTGTGGGCAAGCCTCCACTCACTCAACAATGAATGATCTCATGGTCTCGAAAGAGTAGGACCTACCTGGCAAGACACTGGAACTATTCCCTCCTCAGTCGAGCTCAGCACGGCCAGAAGCTTCTCAGCCTTGGCTGGGCTTTCAGTTACCGAATGATTCTAAGGTTCACTCGACTCCTTCCAGAACTCTTGCCCTGGCTTGGTGCATAGACTGCCCACTGCCCACCTGCTCCATAAGACTCGCAGGCACTTGATCAGTGCAGCCCAGATTCTGGGATTCCTTGAACCAATCCTTAGCAGGAGTTACTCGTAGCAAGGCATCGCTTCAAATTGAATCGAAAAATTCGTCACATACTGCGCGCTTTTTCGACGCCTTCCTCACTGCACAGTCTTTCTGCAGAGCCAGCGGCGAACGAGCTTGCTTGGCTCTCCTTTTTCCATGAGCGGGACGATCTTCTCATTCGCCAGGTCTCAGGACCGCGCATGCAGCTCTCACAGAGTATAGGTGAAACCATTAAACCCCCACAAGCGCACATCTCTCCATGATGGCCTGGAGCGCTGTTCAGAGCCCGCAAGAGCTGAATCACGTGGCCCTCGGTATTGAAGTCCTCCTGCACGCCGAGCTGCACGCAGAGCCGCACTCAAAGCCCATGGTCTTGCTCCTCCCTGCTGGACACACCCGTCCCCATTACCACATGAGTACATTAGATGCAACATGATTGCAGACCAACTCAAAGCCGATCGGGCCTATCCCCCTGTAACTCCGTGGCAGAGAAGTCTCTGCCAAGTCTTTCAAAGCTGTGTCAGACATGCAGCAGACATGCCCGCTCCTCACAGAAGCCATTCACGACCGCCGCCAAGGCTTCTGCACGAACGCCACGGAGCAGCGCGATCAGCACAGAGGCATCCACCTGTCGACTCTGCAGAGACTCAGAAACCGCCGATCAGCGCGCTCAACTCTCGTCAGCTCATTCCTCCGGCTAAGACGCTAAACGATGCTGCTGCACTCGGCTGAACAGTCAACAGCCTTGCTTCTTGTGCAAGCTGTTGCACTATTGCAGCTCACGCCTGATCTACAATCTTGGCCATGTGCGCAGGCCTCTCGACCATGCCTGTAGCGAGAGAGATCCCAAGAGCAGCGTTTCTCTGTTCACATCTGCCGGAGGGATTGCTTGCAGCAACTGCACAGTTGCTGCAAAGGCACTAGAGGGGGGTAGGAGAGGCTCTTGGATACGATGTGGGTAGATGCGTGAACACCTATGCGGCCCACGCAATGCAGGAAAGCGACGCAGGAGTGGCACGAGTCTGTCGCGCAGCAGGTCCTCTGGCTCCTGTCAAGACTTCTCCCTCACACCAAGAGTCTGGGTTCAGTGCAATCCGTGAAATGCAAGTCAGAACGAGTCGCGGTGTCATCTAAAGTTGGACACCCTGCGTTCCTGGAGTAAAGGCACGACCACTGCACCAATCCGGCCGGGCCCTACATCGGCGATGATTGTGGCCAGGGCCTGCGGAGCCACTTGACCCTTAAGTTATTAAGTTGTCGACCACTTGCCTCTCAGTCACGAAACCAAAACTTCGCATTGCATCTGTCGTGATCTACCGGGCCACCAGGTGGAGCGTCTAAGCCGCATATTGTAATGCCGCAGTGAGAGAATCCGGAAAGTTCCCTCCCCCCAAGCTGCCTCTGGCGGAGCTTGCAACACCTCAGCGGCTGTTGGCCGATTGGGAGTTTCCCGATTCTTCGGCTGCTCAGTGCTTCAGGCACATCGTAAAGATCCCGAACAAAGTACCCGTCAATCGTCTTGCGTGCTGGCATTTTAGGGCACTTTCCTCTTCTAAGCAGCGTCCCTGTTGTCCAGGGCACAATGACGAGTCTCCCTGGCAAAGCCCCATTGAGGACCTCCAACATGGCACCTGCCAGGACAAAAGGCAGGCGCATCAAGAGACCATCCCCGTTGACTAGCCCAAGGCTCGAAATCCAAAAGCCCAGCGAGAGCTCAGCGAAAGCTCATCGAGAGCACAGCGAAAGCTCAGCGAAAGCTTCTGGAGATCACTTGACCCGTCTGACATTTTTGACTTCAACAATGCTTGTCATACTCACGGCCGGTGCAGGCACAATATTGCAAGTAGTTGGGTTGCTTGCACTGCCTAAGGGCACCTGTGTCCAGGGAACAAGCGATCTTGGAGAGCGCATCTGCTTGCTCAGAGCTGGACAGCAGGGGCACCACGACCTCATAGACTCAAAAGGTATCAAGTTAGCTCACCACGCACAGTTGCCGTCGGCATTTCAATGTGCGACCAGCCAGCTCGTAGGGCAGCATCCGACGTCCAGCGGCTTGCAAAACTATGGAACTAAACTCCACTGCCAAGCTGCATCTATGAACTGACGGTCACTCACCTGCCGAGCAATGAAAGGGAAAAAGGCCATTTACAGTTCGGTCTCAGGGTGTTCTGAGTCGAAGTCGAAGCCTCGCCTGACTGAACAAAGCCGGCAGCATACCCCTCATCGTCTGCGAGGGAACCTCACATCAACACAACAGACTGAAGGAGGAATGCCCAGCTCCCAACCACGGACAGCGTGGGCATGCTGCCAATAGGCCTGGTCTAAAACTCAAAGACTACGCGGGTGTAGCCAAGATTGGCAGAACATGGTAACAATGAGGCAGAAAACAGCGCAGAAAAAGATGCAGAGTTCGGTCGTCGATGCACCTTGTCGCAGAAGCGGCGCAGAGTTCGACCGTCGGACCTAGCACAAGGCTCCGCAAGCACCGGAGAAAGGGAGGGAGGGGAGGGGAGGGGAGGGGAAGAGAGGGGAGGGGAGGGGAGGGGAGGGGAGAGAGGCGAGGGAGGGAGAGAGAGAGAGAGAGAACAAAAGTGATAAGCAGAGAGAACTAACACATCAAGAAGATGTGCGCCAGGCAGGAAACGTGGGCCTTGCCAGCAGCGCGATCGTCTTGCGCGGATGCGACAGTGTGGCCCCAGTAACCTGACGGCATCCCCAAGTCTTTGACGGTTGTGCCAGGGCCAGCCGTGAGCCGTACTTTCGCTTGGCCCTCTAGGCCCTTTAGGCCCTAGGCATCCCTAGGCATGATACCTGAGCCTTTTTCGGGAGTCTGAGTATGGCCGGCTTTCAATCAAGAATCTCAGCTGGCAGTTTCCTTCGCAACAAGTCATTTGGCAACCAAGCACCTTGCACTGGCGCGCAACTATGCGCATCAGGCAGGTGGAGGTATGCTTGCCAGGTCACCAATTCGGGGTGGCATCTCAACAGTAGCGGCAGCGCGCAGCAGCCACAATCCATCCCAGAAGAACGGAGCCACAGTCCATGCACGTTGTTGACTTCAGGCTTGAACAGCTAGTGTGCTCCGGCGCGTGACATACTATCGCAGCTGCCGGGGGGGGGGGGGGTTCTGCTTGCGCGTGACATACTATCGGGTGGAGGCTCCGCAAAGGCTGAATGCTTAGCAAGCATGACATGGAAACTTGTGAGCAATAACATCTCCATCAGGTGAGACTTTCAGAGGTCTCAAAGACGCGCATGCTGGGAACAGAATGGGCTCAGGACCGTTTAGGATCGTTATGCTTGGGCAGCTTTTGAAATGAAAGGGGAGGGTCCTCTGGAGGGTCTTGCGAGGGTCTTGGGAGGGTCTTGGGATGCCTAGCAAAGAAGTCTCGAGTGACTCTTGTCGCTGCAGACCCTAAATGATTTAATGTCGGAAAAGCATGGCATATCTTCCCTCTGTTTGGTCTCTGGCTGCCCTAATACATCCGTCTTCACAGTTCGAAGACGATGGCTCTTCCTATTACATGAGAAAAGGACGGGAGCTGCCCCGGTCGAGAAGTTCGACAAACCAGAACTTGATGAAAACACCACGAACATCGACCAAATACATGGGCAACCGACGGAACTCCCCCTCCAAGCACGAACCCGGCCAACCCTGCAATTAGGGATCCCGCAAAAAACGCTGCTCCCCTGCGGTGACCCCGCCAGCAGCGGTTGCAGCTGCCTTCATGGCTGCAGCTGCCTCAACTCAGTGCAGCAAGCTTCAACGAGAGTCAAGATGCAAGCGGCAGCCTTTTCAAGTTCGCTTTGTTCGCGACGTACTGAATGCACACCACATCATCCTCATCCCCATCATCATCATCATCATCACCACCTCTTCGCAGGAAAACATAATAACGAGCCCCGACTCCTGTCAGTTCGACTATGTTCCGGTATCCCGCCAAGTGATGATCTTCCACGGCGTGTCGCATCGCCATCACTCCGACTTGAACTTTTCGGGGGCCGCGCTATGACACTTCGAAGCGCTCTTCCAACTTAGGATAACGGGCGTCGCCTTCTTCTCATTGCGGCAGGCAAAGATCACGGATCCCCCAGCCCGCAAGAGAGCCTCGGCGAAGAGTGGAAAGAAGTGACAAGGCTTGACAAGGTATGCCCCTTGTTTCAACAGAGGAGCGACACTCGTTTCGTAGCCGAGGCCGCTGTTGGCGCCTGGCAGGGCACCCACATGAAAGGCAGTGTTGGCATGGGCCTTCTCCATCGGAGACTTGCATGCGCTACTGCACTTACACGTCTAGACCATCCACTGGCAGCAGAAAGAACGAGTTCCTTAAGCCTCCTTTAGCTGATCCGAAGCAAGGCAGAGATTCTACGGTTGATTCGTGAAGCTCTTACGTACAGTAAGGACGCGGCCAGTCACCAGGAAAACCTCGCACACTAGAATCAGTAGAGCACGAAACGACACGACTGTGGACTCGGTAGAGTGCCCCAATCCACCCCGCCTCCACTAGATCCTTCACATTCCTTCAAGTGAGGTGTTAAGATGTCTTAAGAACCACATTGAACCACAAGTCGCGCAGCGCGTCTGCCAAGCATCATTCAAGGAGCCCAAGTTCCCCGCCCGGCCCTGCAAGCTGCCCAATGGCGGCGAGTACCGAGGCCCGCGAACCAGAACGACGTAAGCCTCGTGAACTTGATTTAACTTGGCCCTTGATAGCACCTATCCACAAGCTAAAGTGTAGACGTGTAGACCTCATGGCTTCTAGCCTGGGAATGTGCATCACAGACAGCCTTTCCTTATCACGCTTGCTGCTCTTGCTTGCAGGATCAAGCTGGGGCTGGCTCAGCTGCAAGCACTAGGTTGCTTTTCTCCACGCATCTCAGGTCGAAGGCGGCACTTCAATTTGACCTTCCTTGCTTTCAGCGAGCAGCACGGCCCGCGCACGGTCTGCAATTGCCTGAAGCTTGCGTCGGCATGTCTGCCACATCGCGGAACTCGGACAAGGCACCGTGGCTCCGTGGCTATGCGCAAGTGCCAGCTGCTAGCAACTTACTTTCAACCCGGCCGTCCTGAACGATAGCAGGATAGCCTGCAACAATGGCGCCTTCCTTGGTCACAAGCATGCTAGCTGCTGATGATTCTGCGGCATCTGCCGCAACGCAAGCACCAGCTTCAGGGAGGTGTCAGAACCCGAAAAAGAGACGTAACGTGAACCTCATGGCCATTCCTTGCGCCTGGTCAACCTCAAGCTGCATCGAGTAGCTGGTAATCGGCCCAGCTGCTGTACGATGGGGCCAATATCCTCCGACTTGCATCTCATGGACGAAAGCTGTCTGTTGGAGCGACCTTTCTAAGCAAGACTTCTAAAGTGGTACGTCGCTACGCCCAGGTCACTCCGTCCTCCAGACGCGGCGATTCCACAGATACGCTGTAATATCTTTCTGCCAGGACTGTGGACCTGAGGTATACTTGTTAATGCACAAGCAGAGCGGGGGGGAACAGGTTTCGGGAAACTGGTCCCTTAACTTTCAAAGCGAACCGGGGCAGACTGAATACAAAGCGAACACGTGCCCAAGCAAAATGACCGGTGAGCCTTCTGTCCAACTCTGGTATAGAAACAAGTCTTTAAGCGGCCTAAGATTTCCCAACTTGCTGTGTGCTGGAGCGCCATGACTTGCACTCACAAACAACGAGTACACGTAACATATCATACTGCGAGCCAGTGAGGCCGAGAAGCAACCCCGAGGCGGCAATGAACAAGCAGTCAACCTGTGCTCAGGGAGTGGCGCGCGAATTTGTTGCATTTTCCCGTTTGCGACTTATGTTCATTGTCCGCTGCTATCTGCTCATGTTCTCTCCTTCTTTGAACGCCTTGAAATTGACATTCTCTGCGAGAAATTTTGGCCTCCTCACCAAAGTCCGTCATCTTGCGGCTCTTTCGGCACCGGACAGTCAGCGGCACTGTCGGGGTCGCCTCAGGCACCCCTCCCGAAGAGATTCGTCCGGGGGTGGGAGCAGGGGGTGCCCCCCCCCCCCCCGAAAAGTAGAGGAGCACCCCCAACAAGTGAAACACCAAACTGAGCACGTGATTGCATGTGGCGTCGCTGGCCTCGAACGTCAATTCCTCGGGCGGCAATTCTAGCCTGGACAGTGGCAGCACATAATCATGGCGTCTGCCCATGCCAACCAACAGCACATGTGCAAGTCCAGTGGGAAGCTGAATCGGCTTAGTAGCTTCTTAGCGCAGACAGCGACATCCAACCGCGGGCTCTCTGATGACGCGGTGGTGCAGCCTGTCGCAGAACTCAGAACTGCACGCTTCGGCTCGGATCTAGAATGTGATATTAGATGCCCGTGTTCTGCATTTGTTTGCCTGTCCAAGCATGATGCCCCACCTTCATGCAGCGACTTGATCCACAGTTCTGCGCCCTCCTAGAAGTCCAGCAGAACAGGTCAGGACAGAGGGGCTGTTGAGACAAATACTTCAGCGGTGGCGATTGATCCCTGTTTCGTCCAGATTCATCCTGTAGCCGCCGGCGCATGACACGCTGACGCTGAAAACCATCCCCAAACCAACAATTCCAATAAGTCGGATTTCACGCCGAAGCAAGTCGCAGCCTCGTTGCGACGCAGTCGCTGCTTTGCCTCCCGAGGCAAGGTTCGATGAAGTGGGTGCCCAAGACTGTCCAAGGAGAGGAGCCAAAGGTTGGCACAAGTTTCGACTGCGACTCACTACAACTCCCTACGACTCACTGCGACTCGCTGCGACTCGCGGTGCCTACAACGCTACAACCTACTAGATGCATCGGCCATGCTCAATGCACTGCTGCCAGGGGGTATTGGCGCTTTGGAGGTCATCAGGAGAGGCACCTCCAACGCTCCAGCGCCGTTGCCTCGGAAGAAGGCTCACGTGGCCAGGGCACCTACGTCCACTACGTAGTACACGAAACATCCAGTCAGCGGTCCTCACTAGTCCTCACGATACTACGGCGCCATCTACAGCCATACAACGGCTTATTACGACGGTGCCCATCACGCCATCTCCCAATTCGGAGCCAACAAGGGAAAACAGTCAAAGGCCGACTACCCAGAGCTTCACATAACAGCATATAACAGCCGAAGCGCGCAGTTTCAAACCAAGCGCTTCTCCTGATTCGGGGAGCGCTTCATGAAGCCGCCCTTTCACGTGCCGCTGATTGCCAGATATGTCACTTGCACAACTTATGGAACTTGCTCTCGTCTTGCCCGCCTGCAGGAAAGTAGACGTCCTCCCTCTTTCCTTCCAAAGGCAGTGGTCCAGGAGGCAGCGGCCTCTCGAGAAAGCAGGGTTTTGAGGGGAAGTTCGATGTCCATGGATCACACTCGATGTAAAGAGCAGTTGCCTCTTTGGCACTATGCTGTTCCAACAACTCTCGGCTGGAATGTCGAAATATGGCGAACCTCTGCACTGTCCACACCAACACACAAGCCCTGCGCTTACAACGTTGTTCCGGAACACGTTCCCTGCCACCCGGCCCTAGATGACCTGATGATTGTACGGACAACTGAGCCCCCTTTCTGTCCAACTGAGGCGCCTCTGCAAGAAGTATCTCCACTCCCAGCAGGCCATGGATGAAAGGGCTGCCACACTCAAACGGCCGAAAACCATTCTGTCCGGTACATGTCCGATACCCTTAGAGTCTAAAGTGAACATGAAAACCTTAGACACCTTTTCGAAAAGAAATGCCGAGATAAAGTTGCCAGTCGGGGCACCTTTCGGGGGAAAGCTCACAACCCTGTCATCTGAACCAAGTGCACCTTCCGATTCGAGACAGCCGCAACTGCTGAGGAGAGATCAGCGACAAAACACACGACCAAAGCTGAGCCCTTGTCAAGCAGCTGGCAAGTACATGCAAGTACACTGTGCTTTTAGCTGCCGTAAAAGTGCCTCATACCCAACTGGAAAAAGCCCCCAAAGGGCTCCGGCAGAGGCGGCCAAGCCGGCACTCAAGCATCTGGAGGCCATCCGCCAGGAACCCGCCTGACTACACGAGACAGTTATTTTGCACGGCTGACTTCTGCTGCCTTCACTTGTCTCCACCTCTCACCTCTCAGGGCTGCACATGGCATGAGGAAAGGCTTGGCAACAGCATATTCCCCATCCTTGGAGACTTACCGGACCATGCTGCGAATGCGATGGGGAAGTGCTGGGATGACGTATGATGAGGCTTTGCCACGATCTGCCAAGGAATGCGAAAATTGCAGCAAACGCCAAGCAGCGGACGATGCCATCAGAAATGCGTGGGGCCTTAGTCATGGCCCCATGCTGTTCTTGCCACTCTATGCAAGCCACCGGCTAAAAGCTTGCCCGTCTCCGTGCCATGTTCCCTAGCAGTGTGGGGTTTTTTGTGTCCCAAGCCGCTGCGTGGCATAAGAGATGTTGTGTTGAGCTGCCACTTCGCCTCCGCTACTTCTACTCCAGAGGTTCTGCTAGTCTATGCACGGAGAGGCGGCCCACTCGGAAATTGCGCATCCTGGCAGCCCTGCAACCGAAAGTCCAAAGAGACAATCGAACGGCAATACGGCCTTGGCAGGGCGATTTCGGCCTGCCGGATGCCATCAGCATACCGGAGTATGACATAAGTCGATAAAAGCCTAGGAGAGCCCAGGCCATGAGCCCTTCATTGGGGTCCTTGTCGAATTCGCACCTCCAACCTCGGATCTGCCTCTTGAAGTTTTGGAACTTCACTGGAACTTCTGACTCCCGACACTCGGCGACCCGTAGGCAGCAGCGAGACCATTAATTACCATTCGAAAAGCAGTGTGGCCCTGCGCGCAGAAGGAATGCTTGCCGATGCCTGCCGGCTGAACATGCGAATTGCATGCACTTGTCGCAGTCACCAGCGCAGCTCAGGTGGCAGGGATGCAGAAATTTCCTGAATAGCAGGTCCATCACGCTGGCACATTGTACCTTGGCTCGTCTGGACCTCGCCAACTCTCCACGAGACCTCACAACACCTGCACTGCAATGGTCCTCCAGAGAGATGCCAAAAGACCTCGAGTGAGCGCTCAAAATCAAGCGGCAAGCGGAGTACTTGCGGCTTGTCACTGCTTTCTACCAGCCACAGCCACGGACTAGAACTACACATGACGACCCTCTTGATCCTGCAGATCACTCAGAAACAACAGTGATCCTTGTGTCCAAGGTGCTCGTCTGAGGCAAGGCCAACAGCTTGGCCGATATGAGCAGCGCCTATGCTCGCCAACTGCTGCAGCACCTGAGCGATGCTGATGCCTGAGTCATGGACGACGTCCATGACAAGTCATATAGATGGGAAGCTAAAGTGTGAGCCTCCTCCAAACAGAACATGGACCACATGTGGCTGACAAAGTCGCGTCAGCTTCTGCTTGCGATGCTTTCGATCAACGGAAAATTGACCCTCTGGAACTGTAAGAGCCCCAACTGTATTGTAGCAACCTGCACCGCTACCCGCACGATCCTGCACGTCTAAGTTTTGCACAGTGTGGCACGCCGCCTTTCCTTAGAGGTCCGGCGATTCGCAGCTTGCACATGACACATCCACATTGGATGTTGCGATAACGTGGATGCCAACATCAACTCCAAGATGTCGCGCACACACGCACACACGCACACACGCACACACGCACACACGCACACACGCACACACGCACACACGCACACACGCACACACGCACACACGCACACACGCACACACATGGAGGCATGCAGATGGACTCATGCACATGGACTCATGCACATGGAGGCCTGCACCTGGCTGGGCCGAAGGGCTGGTGAGCTCACCAAAAGACCGAACGACGAAAGGAGGAACCTCTGAGTCCAAGCAACTGGAGGACCACTGCCGCAGCGCAACACGCAGCGCGGCGCAGAGGTCCATCGGCGAGGGCCTCTCCAAACACTGGAAACCACTGGAACCCACTGGAAGGCGCTAACAGCGGCTAACATCTCCAGAGCAGAGGGAGTTGCAGCTACCAGCTGCACTCAATCGAGCTCAGCTGTCCACTCTCCGTCCGACCGGATCTGTGCCAACTTGTCAAGAAGCTCCTGTGAGGTTGCAAAGCTACGTCCGAAGCTGCGCGCCTCTCTCTCTCTCTCCTGCAGGACTTGGGACTTCCGGTACAACCCGCTCACCAGCGTTTGTGTGATGCATCTTCTCTTCCCGCCTGAGACTCCCGGCGCGCGCACTCCACCTCACCGATGCATTCGCATGCCGGGAAAACATCAACCACAATTCGAATCCGGCGCCGGGATTCCCTGATCTCAGTCTTAGGCACTGTTAGTTGCTCTAAGCTACACTTATGGGAATTCCCACGGCAACTCAGAGCAGCCTCGCTTCGGTGCCGCGCCGCGTCCATGCGGCGCTGCAGGTCATTCCGCGCCTGAGTGTATTCAAGCCCTTCGTGGCATTCTCGAGGCGCTTTGTTTTGCTTCCCATGTAATACAGGCTTAGTTCTGTTTCTTTTATCTTCTCTCATCTCTATACACCACCCAAAACGCAGCGTGACAGCGAGGAAAGCCAAGAAGAGCCTCGTCGACGGCCTTTTGCAGGCTCAGATGCAGCTTGGCCTGATGCAAAGCGCCAAGGACGAGGATGCTCATCTCTGGTACACAGTCTGGGAAAACCCGCCAACAAGCCGGTTGCTGCTCAAGTCCGGAGCAGGAATCGGTCAGATTTCAAGAGCCGGTGCCTGTGCATACAGTTCGGCCGCTTGCTGTCGACGCTGAACCTCGTCCTGGCATTCAACACCCACCTATGGTCAGGCTCACAGTGTTCAGGTAACCAAAGCAGTCGTGGCTGCAAGTCACGAAACACAGCCAAAGGCCAAGCAAGGCCGTCGCTGCAGCTTGTCTTTTTCTGTGTGAATCCGCTTTGCAAATCACAGGCCTCGACTGTCGGCTCTGGCCTTGGGGCACCTGCCGGTCAAAGTGTCGACCCGAGCTCTGAGATTCGGTTCTCCGAGAAAATCTGAACAACATCGAGCAAATCCAAAAGTTCAGATCTCGGCCTGCGGGCTCCGGAGAGTGCACCCTCGGCTGCTTTGCAAGGACACAGTGCCCCGATTCCACTGCTGGCCTTAGCGGATTTGAGGGCTTGGCGCCTCCTTTTACTCTGCTCACTGTAAGACACTGTAAGCAGCTCTTGGCTCTGCCAACCTCTGAGTGAGCTGCATCACAGCTGGGCTTGACGGGAGAAGGCTTCGAGCTTCTTCCTGGCAACATACCGGCGTTCACAGTTCTCATATTGAAAACCCCCACTCTCCCCTTGAAGAACAAAGTCCGGAGGAAACATGCCGAAAACTTGAGGTTAGTACTGGGTTAGCATTCAGAGGAACCTATCAACTACTCGTGGATAGACAATAAAGCACAGAGGTTGGACAACTCGCTTTTGGGCCTGAAGTCGTCTTGCTTGGGCGGCTGCTTGCTCCACACCGGAACCTTCCAAGGGAAGTTGATTCGAACCCAAGGCTGGGAGTGGCGCAGCAGCCATGTGCCCACTGAGCGGGGGGGTGGGGCTCGCAACAAGCACACTCTGCCGGCTTACCTCGTCGCCGACAGGCGCGCAGCTCCCCAGCAGCAGCCAACTGACCCAAAAAGCAACTTTCAGTATGTTCAGATAGCTCAAGTTGCGGTCCGAGTCGCCCAACGGAATATCCCAACAGCGTGCAAACGCTGCACTTTTAAGGGACACGCCTCGGCCGCCTGAGCAAGCGCCGCGGCATCCTCGGCCAGGCCTCGGAAGAGTGCCGTGTGCAGCGTGCTGAGTGCCAGGCATCGCAACATCCCACAACTGCCAAGTCTGCCAAGTCCGAGCAAAGAGGCGCCGCCGCTGCAGGCTGGCGGCCAGCAAGGCGGACTGAGTACGCTCGCACTGCGCCTGCGAAGAATCCCAAGTCGAATCTGGGTCGAGTTTCGAGCATCCTCTAGCCATGCTGGGCATGCGCCGCGTTGCCAAGAGCGTCTCTCTTTCAGCAGTGCTTTCTTCACTTCCCCGAGTCTGAGATCCTGATGGCTCCTTTGAGCCCCAGGTCTAAGCCCCAGGTCAAGGCCGCCGGAAGCTATGGCAGGGTGAGGTCGACTCCGGCACTCCGGATCTCACGCAGACCTTCAGAGCCGGTACTCAAGGCTTCGTCAAGGCTTCAAAAGCTCCAAAGAGGCCTCTTACTTCTGTGACACCTTAAGGTGAGGTTCTTTTTTGATCTCTACAGACTGATCTGCCGCGGAGCTTTGTTCCCAGAGTGCTTCTTGCAGCGAAGGGCTCTGATGGTCCTGTGACAGCCCCACGGTTGCAGGATGCAGTTGCTACACAAACTCCCAGTAGCTTCCCCAACTATCTTCCCCAACCTTCGATGAGTCCTGACTTGGCTCTGAGCTCTCGAGCGTCTCTTTGGCGGGGATGGGGCTCCTGGTGGGCAAGGCACCAGGCACACCATGCAGCCGAAGCTGCCGCAACACAAAGCCCTATTGTCCGGAGTGTGAGATAGACACGCGCTACGGGAAGCCGCTCCAGAACTCAAAGAGCATCAACGCACTCGCGCCACGGTAACCGTTCCTCAGCAGGGGCGTGGGGCTTTGATGGACATGACGTCTAGCTAGGCATGCAGCATGACTCCTTCACAAACATTGACAGGGATAAGCTACAATCAATTAACATCTACTACAAGTACCTCTCGATTGAAGAAAGGGTCTGGGATGCCCCTTTCACAATGCCCCTTTATGCCACTGGTCGCTGTGAGCTCTTACAACCTCTGACACATGAAGCCCATGATGGGCACGAGCGAGAAGGCAGGACTCAGAAGCACTGCTCATGTTCTCATGACACGTTGATGCCCAATGCAGCCACGCGACCAATACCTGCTACAGAGGCTGGAACATTATGCCATCTTGCACTCATTTGACTCAATGTTGGCGTGTTCCCTGAGATCCTTTTGGGACTTTTTGCGGACCTCGGGGCTGCAGGCGCGCAGCCCTCATCCGCCGTGGCGGCCTCGAGATGTGAAGTTTGTCGAGTCTTCGTGAGTCTACTACTTCTGACTCCTTGGAGACTCCTCTGGCCTTCACCACCGTCCTGGCCGCAGTCTCCGGGCTAGCCAGAAGCCGGGAGAAAACCTGAGTGCTTTTTGATTTGTATGAAAAGTTGAATGAAGTTCCTGCTCGGTCTTGCCATGTCTCGCCACAACTTGTCAAGCTGTCGAATGCAAAGAAGGCGCAGCCTGTTGCCACCCTGCGTAGCCCCGCCAAATGTCGGACGCAACCTTAGCTAGACTTCAGCGCCATGGTGTCTAACTGGGAACTAAACTCTCAGCACTGGGTCAGTACAGCAAATGGTTTGCGATCTTTGAAACCGGAATCATCCACGATCTGTCACAAGCTGGAAGGCAGACCCTTCTTCGGTCCCGATTGGAAACACACGTGCCAGCAAGGACCTTTGAGTCTCCACTTGAGCCCCCATTCGATTCCGGATTCCCGAGGAAAGAGTATGGCACAGTATGGATGAGTTCAGGCATTGGGCGCCACCAGGGTTGACACAGTGGAAGGCGACGTCCTGACAAGCATGTCTGGGCATCAAAGCCGAAGTCGGTAGCAACTTCTTCGAGGCAATGCTCTGCACATGATCCCAGCAGCCCTTTGCCTCGCCGTAGCGCTTGTGGAACGCGTAGCTCGACACAATCCTCATGCAGTACAAAGAATATTCGCGTATTCAGCAACATCGCGGCATGGAAGGGCAGCAAACCTTACACCGCTGCGTCACCGAGCATGAAGCTTTCAGTTAGGTTCTTGTGAGTTGCTTGTTTGCTTGTCTGTCTGTCTGTTTTGTTTGTTTCTTGTCTCTTTGGCCACGCGGCTGTGCCAACTTGGAGAGGCCGTAAAGGGAGACCTAAGCTGGGGCTGTTTCTTACATTTGTTTAGATATTGAAGCCTCCTTGTTCAGCATTTGGCCATCTATGCGGTTCTGATGGCCAAGCAGCGTAGGGCTCGCGGGCTCGCGTTGTGAGCGCAAAGTCGTCCGTCGAAGCGCTTCGATGAACGACTGAGGAAACATTGATCCTTGCACTTTGATCAGGTTCATGCTGAGAGACGTTGCAACTTGAAAGCCAACCATGCTATCGTCACCTGCTGCTCGTCTGCATCTGTGCAATGGTACACATTTACACTGTAGCGCATGACCATCTGACTGACGGTTTGTGGCCACCCCAACTTTAGCCTCTCACGCGCTCCGTGGATTTCAGCAGTCAAGACTCACACGTCCTTTGGCTCGACGAAGGAGTGGCAGCAATAAGAGTGTCAGAAGAAAATGCGACCTCACGACAAGGCCGACTCTGACCCGGACAGTGCCAAGAAGTAGCACAGAATGGAGTGATAGGGTACACAAAGCGACGGGAGACAAGTCGGGGGGAAGTTCAGGGACCGTTGCTTATTAAAACTCGGCCGAGGGCCGCTCTCCTACCGCCAGCTCTAGCACATCATCAGACGCAGAAAGGAGTCGGCGTAACCATCGACGAGCGACAGGTAGTTCGTCTGATAAAGCTTGTCCACTCCATCCGACGACAGTTGACTGGAAGGTTCCTGCAGAGCGACGTTTCCTCTCATCACATGCCGTCATAACCTTCCACGGTTTGCCAAGCCCATCGCTAGCTGTAGCATGGGGTGCCATGCTGTGTCATGATTCACATGATGTCACCCGTCGTGCCTGCTCAGCCGAGGCACTGTTGAGGCCGGCGTTGCCTTAAAATGGAGCACATTGCCCTACTGCTGCTTCTTTCTCTGCCAGAGCTGCCCAGATGAGCCTTTAGACTCAGGAACCCGCAGATCAGCAGCGCCAGTTCACCATCAAGACGCTTCACCTCCTTTGCATCGACACCCGGTGAGCGTAAAAATTATCACCACTTCCGCAAGTCCGCCTCGGCGAACTTCTGGACCGATGCAAAAGAAGTGAGGTCCAGCCTTTGAAGTTTGGATTTCGCAGAACAACTCTGCTAAAGCAAACCATAGGCTCGTCGACAGCCACGAAGCTTCCCTTTTTCTTTGCCAGTGCCATGGAGGCTTACTTTGCTTTTGGTTCTGGTTCGTTCCCTTCCATCTGCAGCTCGGACGCTGTCGATTGATGACGAGGCCGCGCTCCTGATAGTCCAGCTCTTCTCAACACACTGTTCACTTGCACTGTTCACTTGCACGCGCTCTGCACGCGCTCCTCAGCCAGCGCCGCTGCAGCTGCATCCCCCCGCTCGGCACTGCGGCAGCCAAGAATCACGGCATAGCCAGCAGAGGCAAGCTGGCCTGAAAGGTACTGGGGGGGGGGGGGGTTGGGAAAGTCTCTGACGCAAAACATGACACCAACACATCACAACACCTGCCATGTCAACACGCTCTCATCCCATGTCATCCTAGTGCCTGCAGTGTAGTAGCCAATTCCAGTATTCGCACCAGTCACAACTGCCAGCGGTCTGCCACCTCAAAGTGGCAGGCAGAGTTAAAAGCATGATTAAGTGTCAAACATAACATAGGGAGCAACGATGCAGACACAGATTTGGTGGGTCGCACCCCAAGCCCCGTGGCCCTTTGTTTCCCCACCTCTTATCCCCTTCTAAAGAACACTGCCCCCTCGCCTGTCTTTTCAGTGAGTTTACCCCTCTCTCTGCTCAATTTCAGGGATCTCCTTGCACCTGCATCGGACTTCTAGCACGTAAAAAATGTGATGCTGTGAGCTGGTGCGCGTTTTGCACAGCTTCTCTGCGCTTTTTCCAACCAACGGTATTCAAAGCGATGTAGGACCTAGGACTACACAGTCTCACATGCGGAAAGACTAACGGGCTTGCGAATTTCAGCCAAATCTTTGGCATCGTCAAGCAACAGCGTATAAAAACTTTGTATTCCTGGGAACCATGGGGTCACTCGGTTTGCGAAGCAGCATCAATCCCTCTGCCCGTCAAGCTGCGCCGAGGCGGTCGACGCGCGGCGTTTGCAATGATGTCTCTGTATACATGCACGGCTACAGCACCATGGCTGCAAATGGCATTGTAAAAACGCCAAACTCGAGAAACAGGCAGCACACGCGTGATAAACACAGTTGTGGACAACGGGAGCATGCCTGGGCTGTCACTGATAGCTCTGTGCTGTCACCGTACCTGGAAATTCTGCCGTGGCTGCCATTGCGATTGGCACAAGTTGGACGAGAGTGGCGAACACCCTCATGAGCATGAGCTTCGTGACTTAATGTTTGTGCTCGGAGTGGCATGTAGCTAGCCAAGCTTCGAAGAGAAACATATCTAATTCTGATGCCTCAATGCTGCCTCAACACCTTCAGATTTCTGCGGTCTGCACTGGATGCTTCGGCCCATGCCCTGTCGTGTTCTTAGAGCAAATGCAACTGGGATTCCAGCTTGAGAGCATCATACGGATCGCAGGCAGACAACAGCCCACGGCGAAGCCAGGGAGGCCTCTGCGGCGCTGATTCGGCAGCGTGCGCGAAGGCGCAACTCAGGGGGCTGACGATTGCAGTCTCTGTTCGCCCCAAAGATGCCCAAAGAAACCCATGGCAATTTGCTGGCTGCTGGCACTTGCTTACCTCTGGTAGCTGCACCGATTCACCGAAGCCCTCTTGATCAGCATTCCCTCCCACCTAGCCATGCAACCCTCCACTCCCCTACAAACTTGAATCTGGTGACCTGGTACCTAGCAGACCTGCCGAATTTTCTTGGCTCTATGCCCAGGCTCCGGCGAGACTCTGGAGTTGTTTTGCTGGAGACACCCTCTGCCTTATGTCGCCTGTGTGACTTTGGCCCAGCCGGGGGCCGTTGATGTGGCTGGTGCGTGGCTCAAGAAGTGTTTGCGTGAGGTGGCCAAAACAGGACTTAGATGGATTTAGAGGAGCTGCGGCTTGAGCTCCTGCCAGGCGAAGAATGAAACCCTGACGCCTCGGCCATTTGGTATCGCGCGCTGTCGCCAGGCACCTGTGCCTCATCGTCCCAGCTATTTGCAGCTGGCACAGGGTTTAACAAGACCATGTCAGCTTCGATGGCCTCCCCAAGCTGCTGCTCTGCCCGGGCCTTCACAGCGAGTGCCAAAACTCTAAGCCCCACAAAACTTTTGAAACAATAGAATGACGTGGTGAACGCGCCACGTTCCACATGACACGTATTCAACTTCAAAAGCGGCTTGATTTCAGGCCAGAGAAGCAAGCCTGAGCAGCTTGTTCCCAGATGCTGCCCACGCCGGGCCTAGCAATGTGGAGCGGCCCCAAAGAGGTTGCCTCTCTCGACCCTCGACCCAATGACTACTCAAGGCTTCGGCCGAGCTTATCCGAGGCTTCGCAGTCCGGTCTTTTCCGCTCTGCTCTGTTTGCAGTGACAGCTCGGACGGCCTCTGAGCGCCAAGCGGGCCCAATGTACCTGCCTCCTGCAGCAGCTGATTGCCAGCCGCTGTCCTTAAGCACGAACGCAGACATGAACCTAGTGGTCGTGGCTCTACACAGATACATCCAGGCAGATGCAAGAGCTAGCTGGCAGTACGGATCACCCACGATGCATGCACATCCCAGGTAGCCACATGGTCCTATGATTGCCAAGCCGCTCTGACCCCAGAGCTGTCTGCGCCTCCTGCAAAGCAAACTCGAGACATGCCAATGACCCTTTGCTCACTCCATTTCCCTCCAGCCCGTTGCAACGACGTCGCACGAACGTGCACGAACTCGATGCTCAAGCCTCGGCTGCCACCTCCGCAGCACCCTCCGCGGCAGCTGCTGCAGCCGCTGATCGCAGGGCCTGGTCAGTGGGTCCCTGGACGAGTTGCCGTGTGAGCAAAGGCTCCGTCTGGCTGCTGCATCTGCTGCGTTACCTACAAAACAGGCAAGACAGCCTGCTGCACCTGCTGCAGCTGCTCAGTGAGCCTTTTGCAAAAGGCCACTAGCGGATAGAGAGAAACAGAAAGAGAGAGAGAGAGAGAGAGAGACAGACGCCAGCTTGCAACGCAAGAGAACAAGCCTCTTTCCATCTGCTGCACAAGGGGCCTGCAATGTCGCAAATGGAAGGAGCGAGACAACCCGTACTGGGTTCACGTCAGACCGATACCCATGAATCCAGGCAAAGCATTGCACCTTTCAAGGGCAAACAGATTCCACTACACGGGCCATGAAGCTATCTGAAAGCAGATCAGCACGAAAGCAAGCGGGCATTCAGATGCGCTCGTGAAGTTCATGGTTGTGGGGGTGTGTGAAGTTCGTGTAATGTGAGCATTCATCAGCATGACAGTCTGAGAGCGACGGTGACCCAGGCACACAGGACAACCGATATGGACGCTGCTCTGAAGATGTGTAAATTGACTGGTTGTCAACTGCATGGGATTCGGCAAATGTTAACGTGTCACAGGCCAACAGAACTCGGAGAGCTACGTAATTTTGACATGTCCATGAATGTCCATGTTCTTATCGTGACAAAACGGAAGAAAACTTAGAGTCAGCATTGAAGGCCTCTGCTGGCATCTCGACTTCCTCTTCAGGCTGGAATCTGCTTGGAAAGACATGGCTCGCAGACCTTGTGCAGATCTGCCTGGGCCCTCTGCTGCAAGGCGGCTGCAGCCTGATAGAAGCATCAATGAGAGCAGGGCACACATTGCCATGCCATCCCCAGAAGCATCCACAGGCCTCCCAGTTGCCACATTGTGCTGTTCAGGGTGTGTTCAAGAAACTTACACATGTGCGCGTCCAAACCCATGTGTACATGGTACACTCCAGAGTCCAGACCGAAGTGCCCAACCCCCCCGCGTCCTCTGAGCGGCACAGCGCGGTTCGCAGCATGGCGCACTCTGCCAACCTCTCCGGAACATTCCGGAACCAAAGGATGCTGGAAAGATCCCCTTTCTCGGTGCTGCCGGGCAGCGCTCCGCTTGCTTCCTCGCGCAATGCTGCCGATTCCGCCTGCGCCTGGCACAGGACATCGTTTCCCTTAAGGAGCTTCCCGTAAGGAGAGCGTGCGTGCGCGGCTGAAAAGCCACAAACTCTACAGTGTGCGAAGCGAAAGGGAATGCACAAAAAGAGCAAAAGCAAACACCAAAGGGAAAAAAAAAAAAAAAGCAACACGAAGAGCAAAACTTGACGAAGTGGCAAGAAACAGCATGCAGAACAACAAAAACAACAGGCAGCAGGAGGCAAGCACCAAAAAACATTGCAAATGAAAAATCCATAGATAAGTAGCAAAATACTGCCCTCCAATCTGTCCTGAACCCGAATCCTTACGACCCTGTACGCCCCAAACAGCAAACACCTCAAATTTAAAAAGCCCTAACCCGAGGACCTCAAACACCCTGCACTCAAAACACACGAAACCCCAAAAGCCTTGAACCAGAAAGTCCTAAGACTCCTAAGACTCTTGAGATTTACCAGCGAGCAATGAGGGCGGCATGGAGATGGAAGCCGTGACACGGTACGAGGCAGAGTTCAAGCTGTGGGCATGCCTCCACACCCTGGCTGGTCAGCTGCTGCTTGCTTGACGCGAGCTCGCTGGATATTTCCTGCCAAGAACATGAACATTTTCAACTTTGCGCTCAGCTAGCTTAGCTAGCTCTGCCGGAAGTTCCTGGACTTGCTGCCAGCTCTGCTGTGCCTGCAGCTGCGCCTGCGCATCTCGCAGCTCCGGCGAAATTGCTGACCTCGACTCCTGTTCCAGGAGTGGCTCTGGGTGCTGCTGGAGTAGTGCACATGGGCTTAGTGGCTAATAGTGCTGACAGTCGTGGGCACAAACTTTTTTACATCGACCCAGTCCGCATCTGCAAACTGATCCTCAGGGTGGCAACAGTGCCTCTTCGGATCATCCAGCTAGCCACAGCAAACCGAGACCTTTTGATGCGACTTGTCTGTAAATGCCGACTCCTGAGGCAGAAATCCCGACCGTCCTTCAAATTAGCATAGACACAACAGCGCCTGGTCACATGTCAATGCCCAGCTGTTGGTGGAAAAAATGGTGGCTTTGAGCGGGCAAGTCGCCCAGAATTGCCAGGCCGGTGAGATGGAAACAGGGCACCACAGCCGAAGGCGCTTTGGCTCAATGGGAAAGACATCCAGTGCAGACTTTAAATTCGCTATCCGGCAAGCCACCTGAAGGATTTAGAGACGAAGGTTGCAACTCCCCGAGCAGCATAGAACACCACCTGGCATAATGAGGCTTACATAACAGGAGCTCGCAGTCTTCGGTGCCAGTTTTGCCTGCTGCACTGCAGCACATGCATCATCATCATGAATCATCATGCATCATCACGCATCCTTGCAAGTATCAGTTGCCTGACCTGAGATGTTCGCCAAAGAGGCCATTAGCATGTGTTGAACCTCTCAAGCCGTGCATGCGTCGCGGCGACTCTCCACCTCGCCCTGGAAATCATACAGCTCCTTTTCGATGCATGTAAGATACTCCGCCAACCGACGGAGGTATCGCTCACGGGACTCTCACGGGTCAAGATTTGGTGCCATGGGGATGCCATGTTGTACTGGCGCAAGCCTCTGAACATCCCAAGATGTACTCCCCGCAAAACATCTGTATTGCAGGGTGAAATGGAGCCGGCCAGTGTCTTGCAATTCCACAGCAGGCCATGGCGCAAATCCTACCGCAAGGAAGATTCATCCGCTGCGAGCCAAAGTCTGAAGCAGTGCCCTGCATGTCTCGCTTTTTGGTCCTAAAGCAGCACAAAACAGAACACAGCTCCGTTGATCCACATCAATTGCCCATAACAGCCCAGCAGATACTCACACTTTGCTTCTCGCTCGCAGTGTGTCTGTTAGACTCACTAGCATGCTTTGGAGAAGCTTCTCGATGAGTAGCTCCGAACACCAAGACACCAGAAGTACAGACAGAAATTGCACCTTAAGCCCTCTACTGGACACCGCAAACCACAAATACGTGAAATACTATGGCTGATTCTGAAAACTGGAGCTGCACCAAGCTTAAGTCAGTGCTATTCCAGAACCCCAGCACTTGGAGCTGTGGTCGTCAAGGATGGCACAGGTATGCCTTGGACAATCAGCCCAGGCAACAAGCTTTCCAGTTGAAGAGTGTTTGCTCTTGACTGGAGTTGCACACTCTCGAAGTATGTCACATCATCCCGTCCACACCATGCCGAGCCTATCGCACAAACTGTGGGCTCCAAGCCGCGTCCCGTACACCATCAACCAAGTCAAGTCATCTCACTGCCATGGTGCCATGACCCCGCCAGAAGAGACGTTGCTCGCCGCCCAGTCCCTAAAGGCTCTGGAACCTCGATTCGAGGAGCAGACTTGGAAGCTGTTGTTGAGCAGCCTCTTTGCAAGAAAGGTGCCAAAGCTGCGCCAAGCTCCCATGGCCAAAGGCCGATGGAAGCTGGACCACCCGTGCGAGCCTGGCTGGCGGATGTTCCACAAAGATTCGATGCATTGCGATGCCTGAGATCCGAACCTGCCCCTGGCCGTTGGCACCCCAGCACTTGACCCGGCCTTGGCTGCACGCTTGTTGGCTAACAACCTAATCGCCGAGGACTAGAATGGCCCGCAACATGACCACTGCATCTTCACCACTCCATGCAAGATGTAACCAAAGAGCTGCCACTGTCAAGATAAGGGATTTATCCAGAAACAGCCGGGCTTTCCGGCTTCCAAAAATGCCAAGTCGTCACAATTCCAAACTCTGTGCTAAAGGTTCCATCAAGCAGCTTCTGTCATTTCGGCAAGCATGCCAAGAGACAACCGGAGAACGGTAAAGGAATCACATGGAATAGCAAGGGCTTGCGACTGGAGAGCGAAACGCTACAAGTGGAGAACCCAAACATGAAATGGCAAGAATTGTTGGACGTTTAGTCAACGCTTCATCCAAGTTCAGGTCATGGCCTTGCCGTGGCCTTGCTTCCTTCTCCAAATTCCTGCCTATCAACGCGGTCCTGGTCTGTGCATTCATTTTCGAGGTCCTGAATCAGTGGCCTTCTTCCCATACTGGCTGTCTCAGGCTCCTTGTCAGACGTCGGCAAGATCTTGCTGGCTTCTGGCTCAGGTCGGCGTTGAGAGGGCCTTTGCTTGGGGGAACCTTCTCCCTCCATTCCAAGTGCTCAACTCAGGAGAGAGGATTGAGAGCTGTCCCTCATTCAGAGCCCCCAGCTTGGATTATATCGGATTGCTCTCGTTCCTTTGTAGCGCTGTTTGTCCTTTCCTTGAGCATGTGAGAGAGGAGGACTTTATGACTTTGTGACAGGAAAACGAAGTGTCAGGCAGAGCTCTCTCGTCTTCAGTGAATGGCGGTCAGGACTCGGAAATCATGCGATGGAGATGTCATTGGAAATCAGCTTGCAATCAAGGTCTGGAGTGTGGAGGTGATCACGCGATTCCTTTTACTTGGTTTCTTGGCACATGACCTTGACAGCAAAAGAGCCGAGAACAGCAGGCACCTTGGGTGCTTCATACCACTGGCACAGAACTTCTCATGGTATTCTCTGATGGCAGGGCAGTCTTCTTCCGTTCCCCGATCACCATGCTAGTCTTTCCTGTTTTGCTGGGAGCCTATTCCAAGAGGACACACGACCCTCTAACTAGGGTAGACCCGCTTGTTGGCGACCTGGCAGCTTGGGGGTGAGGGCCTGGGACGAAAGCTAGTTCAGGTACCCCCACGGAAGAGCTTCCGTCAACATGGCATCAACTACGCAGAAGGACAAGCACACGCAAATGCAGCAGGTCGTGTCATCTTTTTTCTGGCGCAGGTGCCAATATTGACGTGGCATTCCTTCTGGCAATGTGTTGGTGTGTTGCTTTGCTCTGCGGTGTTTTAGCATCTTCCGGAGGGCTCTTTTTTGAAACGCATGACACCACAACAGATGTTGCACTCACCAGGGGAACCTGTCCAATCCAGCTTTGAGGGACGCCGGACTCAAGTCAACATCATCAAGGCTTCTGAGTCTTTTCTTGGGGGGCTGTTCTGTTAGCATCTTCCGGAGGGCTCTTTTTTGAAGCGCATGACACCACAACAGATGTTGCACTCACCAGGCGAAGTCTGTCCAATCCAGCTTGAGGGACGCCGGACTCAAGTCAACAGCAAGGCTTCTGAGTCTTTTCTTGGGGGGCTTTTTTGTGGCCTGGGATCCACAGAAAACGGCGTTCATTTGCACCCAGTATACGAAAGAAATAAACGCAAGCGGTTTCCCCAAAACCTGTGTTTCGCCACCGGAAATCGACCGGGTTTGCTGCGTTTCGTGGCGGAGCCACCGAAAGCCCTGTATCCCCTTCAGGTTGAAAGCTCGCTTAAGTAAGATACTCCGCTAGCCCTCAGGGGCCAGTGATAAGGAAAAAATCGCTCTGCTCTCTTCGGTCATGTCCATCGGCCCCTTTCCTTTTTTAAATCTACTTGACCGGTCCCGATATGCAGAGAGAGGACTTTGGGCTACCTTACATTTTAGCAGCTCAACTGATGTCCAAAACGACGATCGCTCCACCGACTCGGCCGGAAGCTGTTTGTACCGGATCAATCCCAATGCGCGACGCAAAGTGCAGTCGCGGCGCCGTCATCCAGCCGGGCACAGCTATGCTCCAAGCCGAGGCGTACCTCCACAGCTTTGCATGGTCCAAGCGCGACCTGGCAGCCGGCAAAGGAGTCGTCGACTCTAGACGTCTCAGTCTCGGCACTTCTGCACTCCTACACTCCTCCTAGGCGCGAAGTGTCACAAAGTATTGCAAAGAGGTAAGATGCCGTCACGAGGCGGGGCTGAGCCAGTCGCCCATCTCCTTCCATTCAACATCATTCAACTCTCACTGATGTCTCCTGAGGCCACTTCCAAAACATGGCTTCGTGATGCTTCGTGATGTTTCGCGCCTTCGGGTCGTCTCCGCGGTTGGCCGAATCGCCCAGGCCCAATTGCCCGCGGTCGTTTGCACCCCAGCACTTCACCTTCAAAACTAGGGGATCCCCTTGCGCACGCGCATCTGGAAGTGTGGCTCCCTCTTATACCTAAATTTAAATTGTATTCTGTTTCGCCTGTCCCGTCTCCAGGAGGGCGCAGCTGTGGTGGGCCCCACTGCTCACCTGGACCACCTGACACTGGCATAAGTGCGCAGACGCGAGCCATTCTGGAAAACTTCCACTGGCCTGTGCTCCCAGCAGGACCTGTGCCTGACGCAAAGTATCCCAAAGTGGAGTCTTCACAGTTCGGACATGTTCGGACATGTCCACATGTTCGGAGCAGAGCCCGGGCCTGCTGAGTCGGCCGTGGCAGCGTATCGCCCTGACCCAACTGGCCTCGCCAGAGAAGTCTTGAAGAGTCTCACAGGCAGCGTGTATCGAAGGAAAGGGGGGAGGGGCCTTTGTCATTCTGGCCCCAACAGCTGAGCTCTCTCCGCTGCGAGTCGAATCGCAGCAGAGCGCACTGAAAGCCTGGGAGCCCAAGTCGGGCTGTCAGATTTTGTGTTTGCGTCGGGGGGGGAGGGGGGGGTGGGGGCATGACAACCCCTGCTCTCTCATCTCTCTCCCACTTGGCGAGCCACCCACGCCCTGCGTGCGTTGTTCGACAAAGGTCGCAGCAACTAGTCCATGCAGGCACAGCAGCAGAAGGCGCATTGCAGGAGATATTTCAGAAGGAGCTTTTAGGAGCTTACGTCTTCTTCGGGTGCTAGCTAGGTGCCATGTCTGGAGATATGTCAGGATACCTCTATTACTGACCAGCCAGTTCACGACATCGAGCTGTGGTTTGCCATTGTTTGCCAAGCAATCAGCTGCATAGTCCGAGCAGACAAGCTGCGCATCACATTCACACAAAACAAACACACGCTCAGGCTTAGGAAAAGCCCCAGTGTGATGAACGTCATCCCGTCCTTGAGCTCGGCCGGCTTCTCTCGACGTCGATGAAGAGAAACCTTCGGCTCGAGACTGGACGAGAGGCAAATCCGATCAGACCTCGACCCGAGTACTGGACAGAGCTCTGCAGCCGCTCTGCCGAAATTAGCTGCAACGATGCAGCAAAGTGCCTGGGCCGCTCTGTTCTGGTAGTCCTTGGACGATCGACGTCGGCCCAGGAGAGGGCGTTCCTTCGGGCCACGTTTGCGACGTTTGCGGCATTTGTCGCTACGAAGACCACGCTCAATCTCTCAGTCAAACAAACTGGTCCTGAACCTTCAAAGGGGGAATCTGTGCCTCGCAGGAACATGGCACATCAAATCACTCAACATCAATAAACCTCCAGCTACAAGTCTTAAGCACAAAGTTTTCAAAGCTGCTCCGGGAATGCCTGCGAAGGCACCCAATCATTGCCACCGTTCCTTGGTGCTTTGGCGACTTGCCATGACTTTCCCTTTCTCCTCTCTGCACATTGCGATCCATACTTGAAAATTTGCCGAGTCACGATGGCTCGGCATGTGACCGCTCGAAATCCGCCTGTCGTACTTCTGACAGTGGCGTTCGCGTACTGCTCTCAAACTGCTCTTGCTCGGCAAGTGCGCAGGGTCATTGGAGCCCGCTGTGTGCATTGGGTTGGACAATACAGGCTCCACAGACATACACAATGCAGTCCTCTTGAAAAGTCTGCAAGTAAGCTTTTCAAGCGCTCCGTTAAAACGATATGGCATCTTGACATGCACGTGGCTCCCTCAGAGTCGGATGCACCTTTGATCTGCCAACTGCACAGGAACCATGTGAATCCATGCGACCTCTCTCCTTTCAAACACAAGGGCAGCAATGTCCCACGTTGGACGATCGGATGCATCGAACGCTCTGGGGCCCTACTTCAAAAAGTTCTGCCTGAGTACCCCTTACGACGTCTCAGCACTTTTGACACGTCTGCGCTTCATCGGCTTCGGCGGGGTACCGATGGCGTCCTCGAGGCTCGGAAAGAGTCAGGTCGAGAAGCTCACAAAGCTCACATTCTAGGGGAAGGAAGAACTGAAGGAACTGCTCAAATCCACAAAATGACATACTATAGCGGTTGACTAGTACACTGACGAGGTCTGGCGAACCGTTTCGCTCTCTGCAGGGCTGCCGGGCTGGGCCTGGAGCGGGCCACTGCGTTTGAGCTCGCCGTCGATGACGGAGTTCACCGCGTGCATGTGATCTTCCTGTGACCGGGTCCGCCCCAACTCTAACATACTCTAACGTGGCTAGGAAGGCGTGTACCTTGCTCAGGCCCTTGGACTCTAGTCCACAATCTCACGGCTTGCCAGCTTAGCAGGGTTCCGATTAAAAGTTGCCACTTGAAAACATCCTGTCCCTGACACCCAACTGCAAGGATTAGGATTTGAGTTGCTGTGTTGGGAAGGGGGCTTGGGGTTTGGGCAGCACGCCCGGAACATCCATTTCACCTGCTGTGGAAGAAGATAAGGCACAGCATTTCATGATTCTTAAATTTTGCTGTCTTGGCTTTACGGGTCTGGGAAGATGCTTTTTGGGCGTTGCTGGCAGGACAGGGGTTGTTGCAACACCAGCTTGTTCCCCCCAAAAAATAACATACGCCAATGGGATATTGCAGCTTAAGCAAAAAATGAAACCTGAAAACACGGCTCTGCATAACTCGCGAGGTAAAGGTGCACCAGTCCCTGGCCGAACATGGCCCGCCAGCATCGGTTTCGAGCCCCCTATGTGGACCAGTGAGATTGGGCAGCCCATTGCAAGTACTAGTACCCCGCTGAGCCTCCCTGGATCTCCCTTGCCTGGCGGAAGAATTGCCCGCCTGAGTCTCCTCCCTGGCCTGCTTGTTGATGCAACATTCCGGCACAGTTGCCCTGAATCCGTACGGAACCTCCTGAAGCAGGTGTTTGCTTAACCCTACGAGTCAAAAACCCATCCTGGATTGCATGGATGCGCAAGGCCTGGTAAACCGCAGGGCGCGTGAAGGGGTAGTGGGTGTGCGACGGCGCTGTGCTTCTGTGATTGAAATGGATGCATATGCACGTTATACTGGAATGTTAGTAAAAACTTATGGCATCGGAGATCGGGTCACCAGTTGTCGGTGTCATATGCCGGGGGGGGGGGTCTTTTCGAACACAGCCAGAAGTCTTCCTGCCACAAAAGGGCCTTTGGCCATCCTCGCAATGTGCCATAACCCTGGTGCTATCTAAATCTGCCATTAGCAGGGCTCTGCAAACTGTGACTGAATGCTTCGCGCCGGGTGGTCAAGGTGGACACACGCCAGGGATGCGAAGCTGAACAAAGCCAGTCAATCAGATAACCATATTATCGTCAACGATACTTGGCAGAGCTGCGTAAACGAGCAAATGTCAGGAACAACACCCCTATCAGCGCAGCGTTCCCCTCTGCCTGCATGCTGCCGCTTCGCAGGTATGCCACAAATTGGTCGTAGGATCTGACACGCATGAGTTCCGGATCTCGTGAGTAGGTGCCAGCTGCTGCAATCACAACATACCACAAGATCTCTAGAACAGGAACTGCGCTATCGTGCAGCAAGGAACACTTTGTCCGTCTGCTCGGGGTCCACCTGACATGCACGAAGGTGGTCATGGTGCTGTCGTAACATTCAGGTCTCAGATGGGATACGTCGCCTCGGCAAGCAGCTCCTCGACTGAAGCGCCCTCGAAGGAATCGCCCAAGAGCTTTTGGAGGCTCTCGCGGGAGATAAAACCATGACCATCCTTCAGACTGCTGGATGTGATGACAAAGCACTAAGGCTTCTTGGAGTATCTTGCAGCCATGTTTCGACGTCAAATCGAGCAAACGCCGACCGAAGGAGTTGGTCATGCCTGAGATCTTACGTCAACACAGCCTAAGCCGCCTGCAGGGTCTCGAAGGCACATTAACCAGAGCAGGGGCACATGGCTATTCGAGAGGAAACCATGGCCGCCAGAAACTCGCTGTAATGCACCTCCACACAAGGGCACACCAGGGCATCACAGTCTCTCTCCTGGCCTTTGCGTTTGCGGTTTGCAGGCTGAACGGAAGTGCCTCATCACAGTGGCTGCAATCCAGCGCACGGAAAATCTCCACCACTTCCTCGGAAAGTCAGAGACCAGTTGCCTGGTCAGGTCGTTTGTGCTCGAAGCCTCCTTTTTCTTTACCACTTCTTCGAAATCTTTGCAGGCCCAAGTTGCCTTATCTGCGATGTCCTTGCAGCTTCGCTGAACTTCGCAGGCACGCAAAAGCTTGCTGCTCTCAACGAAGCAACTACTAAACTGGCCCTGCACATGGCTCAGTGGGCAGGTAACGTTCAGGAAACTTGAGAGCAAGGCGACCGAAAGTTAGGGCCCCGAAAGTGTCACGCGGCCAGTGTTTTCGGCAGGCAGGCTTATTTGTAGTTGCTGCCGCAAAGAATTGGGGGAGGCTCAAAAAGCCTCGCGTGCAATGGTGCCTCCTGATTACTCAGGATTACCCCTCCCCCCTTTTGCGTCCGCAAATCCCTGAGGTATCAGGCCAAAAGTCCCCCCAAGACCTGTTTTGGCACGAGACGAGAAGGCTGCAAGGAGTGTGACAGTTGTAACTGTATGACTCAGACGTCACTGTTCGGAATTTTGCTCTCTATTATTGTCGTTGCTTATTCTTCGCGCAGCATCGCTTCAATGCAACTTTCAAAAGCAAGGATTCAGATGCTATTTGACTGAAGGTCACGGGACCTGCGCGCACCTGACTTTGTGTGTGAGCGTGGTTTGTTGTCCCACTCTGTTCTTCCACATCAGCGTTTTGCGAGCAGGAACAATAAATAGAAGCAGGTTTCAGGAATGATCAAATCTGCCGAAGCGGAGGCCAGTACAAGCTTGCACTGCACCAGTAGTCCAAAAAAAAGAACTAAGAGAGAGAGAGAGAGAGAGAGAGAGAGAGAGATACCTGCTGCAGCCAACTGATAAAAAAAGGCTTGATCATGTTGCTAGACGGCCTGGACATAATGAAAGCATTCCCAGGTGTACTCCCTGACCAACCTTTATGTGGAGGAAGTTCTGTCGCAATCTTAGCGAAATGTCGCCGAGCCACGAACTGACTGAGGACATCGCGCATCTCGTGCAATCGAATGGTACCTCGCCGAGACGTGTCAAGCTCGAGGAAGGCGTCTACGACCTCACGGCTCCAGTGACGAGCGGGCCGACCTATAATAAAGCTCAACCGTCGTAATCCCCTGCTACCCCGTCCCGGGTTGCAGCCTGGGAGCTGACTTGCGCTCCTCATGGGATAATGACCAAGCCATTACCGACATACCTTGCTGCGTTTTCGATTTTCTAGTGTAAGCCGAAACACAGCTGCCATGCGATAAGACGACAAACCACAAGCCTGTTCCATCGATAGCAAATTGGTCAATGGCCGAACCTACGACCTGATGGCCGGGGCACACGCACGCCTGAACTTTGAGGCCTGCTCGAACTTCCTGCGGTGCCGCTTTGCTACATGAGGGGTGAGGCGCCCGGGTCACTGCTTTTTGCCACGGACAGAATATGACTGGTTTTTGAGTAGATGTGTGACTTTCGCATACCTTTGAGTGGAAACCATGCTCAAAGAAAGCATTGCACCCAGTCATTGGCGAACCACTGCGCGCAAACCTGACACCTTTATGCTGACTGTCTCGGACCCTCGTGCCTCAAGGCATCGACGACAGAGCGATCCACGCGGCAGCTCTCCGAAGGCATTCGCTCGCGCTCCTGTGCTTGGGACTGGCCTTAACTTAACGCATGGTGAGATCGTGGGATAACATCTGAAGCGGTCTCCATGATTTCTTGCGCTTCTCTTGCCTTAAGTCTGAAAAGGCAACTTTCTCTGTTCTTGAAATAGAACGACCTCAGTTCTTTTGGCTTTCAACTGCTATTGCCGCGACTGTTGCACCATTGCACTATTCTTACACTATTACACTATTGCACGGTTGCGCTTTTACCTTATTACCCTGGTAAACGATTACACAATTGTACTATTGCACTCTTGCACTCTTACACTTTTACACTCTTACACTATTACACTACTACACTATTGCCAAATTACACTATTCCACGATTACAGTACTACACTCCTACACTAGTACACGATTACACTACTGCACTACACTACTGCACTAGTACACGATTCCGCTATAACACTATGACACTCTGACGCTATGACACTATGACACTATGACACTATGACACTATTACACTGTTGGGCCGTTACTCTCTTACACTGTTGCGCTATTGCACCACCACACGCCCACACCATCACACCACCGCACTATTCCACTATTACACTCTCACTCTTACACTCTTACACTCTTACACTCTTACACTCTTACACTCTTGCACTATTACACTATTACACTATCACACTAGCACACTATTACACGACTACACGACTATACCATTACACTATTACACTCTTACGCTCTTACACTCATACAGTCTTACACTCCTGCAGTCTTGCACTCTTACACTCTCACACTCTCACACTCTCACACTCGCACACTCTCACACTTGCCATTA